TTCCCAGCTCTGTTTTTCATCTCTTTATGTTTTTGTTGTACCTTTGTTAAGCAGATTCTACTTTCATGTTTCCCATTCCTTTGAAACACTGTCCTCTTGCTGTGTTGACTTGTTTTATTATCTGTTGTACCTTTCAGTGCCATCCTTGGTAGTAAATGTAGAGCTGGTTTCTCATTTTACTTTTTTTATTCATCAGTGTTTTTCTCTTTGTTTCCATTTCCTCCTTTCTAGCCTGTTTTCATGCACTTTCTGACCTGTCAGTTCTCTTCATTATCTTCCTGTAGGAACAGTGTGTGTGGAAGAGAGTGACAGTCCTGTTCCATGTCCATCCCCGCCCCCAGTTTCTTCCAGGAGTTTGGAGTATATCAGTTCCTTGCTCGTTTCCTTTTAGGTCCTTATCTGCAGCAGTTCTGCCGTGCCTCCTCTTGTGTGCTTTTTGGTTATTTTTGCCTTGGACAAATGAGTAAAGGATGAGATGGGCACTTGGCGTGGGATTGAAATCTCAGAACACAGTGGTGTTTGTATCTTAACGTTCACCCAAGATGAGGCTTGGCAACCAGCCTTTAATGAACATATGTAGGATGTCTGTGCCTATCAGTGAGCAATCAAATTACCAGGAGATCAATTCTGTTGATTCTGCAGTCTTCCACCTTTTTTCAAGGTCCTCATAGCCATATCCAGCCTTTTGCCATCACTGCTGTCCCCTCAGTTCTTTGGCATTTCATCTGTTGGGCTCAGCCTCTTTGTCTAAGCTCTATATTATATAGTGGTGAGTCATTTAGTTTAGCCAAAAAAAAACAAACTTGAAACTTTTTGAAGCAGTCATTTCAGAATGTAATTTTTACAATGTGTTTCTTCTTAAAGTTGTTCATGGGGCATTGCGACAACTTTTATATTGACGTAAAATGAATTTTAAAAATAATTTGAACTTCCATTGAATAATTTTTTTAGTTTAGTATTATTTTCTGATCAGTATTCATTTCAGTGAATTTTATTGTTTAACTGGTCCACTACCCCGCGTGCAAGTCCTATAAATAGACATGGCAACTGTGTCCTGATTTATTTCTTTTTTCTCCCCTATCCTGGAGCTGTACTCTTGATAGCACTAAAGTGTCTTTTCTGTCTGGTTTAACTTCTTGCGAGACAGGGTATTGAATTATACAAATACTTCCTTTTTGTAGGGTGCTGCTTATTCGTGTAAGCTATAGCAATTCAAAAGAAGTTATTTTAGTAATCCATAGGAATTCAAAGGTTGGTGGGAATCAACATAATTTGTGTTATGTTTTGAAAAGCTGCTAAATTTCTCCCATCATTTCAAAGGAGGGGGAGAGGGACATCTAAAATCCAAACCCTTACAGTTACAAAGATTCTGAAGTCTGAAAACGACTGCAGTGTTGCTTTCCTGAAACTGCAGACAGCTCCAGAATGCTCGGTTCTTTTTTTGAAAAAATGTCTTTTTTTCAAACAGCGGCAACCTGAGTTAAGCAAAACTGCTGGTGGATCTCAGCTGGCTGCACTGAAACCAGTAAGAGTAATATTGTGCACTTGGAGCCAGCACTGCAGGTATTTGGTTGGGGAAATACTGCAGGATGCTTTGTGATTACTTCCCAACTTACACAGAAAGGAGGAGAGTTTGAGTGGCCTCTTATAAACTATGCAGATTTGTGTGTGTATAGTGAGAACAATTCTAGTCCCTCACTAAGTTCTTCTATCTCTAGTGGTAATTCTAAGAATAAATCCCAAGCAGTTACCTGAAGAGGGATACTTAATCTCATAAGAAATGGTTGCTTGTCTAGAAGTTAGGCTAAATTTGCATATCGAGCGTATTTTGTTATGTTTATTTTTGGGCAAGAAACCTGATAATGGTATGATACGACATTTCCAGCAGCTCTCAAAATTGGTTCTTTATGGAAAATCCCCCCATTTTTATTAATACTTTTTTTCTACTTTTCTAGCACAGCAGCTTTTTGCTCTGGTGAGGGAGAAGATCAATTAGATGATTTCCAGGGCAGGGCAGTGTTATGATTTACAGCATAAGTGATGTGAGGCAAAAAGCTGTGGTTCTGCATGAATGAGTTCTGCAGCACCTGTCCTAGAAACAGAATTTTCTAACTTCACTTGGCTCACTGCCCATAACTAGATACTTAAAAAACAAGACACCCCTGGCTTCTTTCTTGAATTTCTATGTGACTGTGGACTGCACTAAGGAATGTGTATTTGTGTTTTTCTGTACCCACATATATAAGCTCACATACCTTTTCCAAGGTCTTTTGAACATCTTTTTGGATTCCTTGAAGAGAGTCAGAACTAAAGGTCTTTTGAAGACCTGTGTTCCTTATTGTTGATAGTCTTTCTTGGGACGTAAGAGCAGTTTTGTTGGATAACTCACTGTTGTAAATACAAGCTGTGTGACTGAATGTGAGGACCAAACGTCACTGTTGTATCCTTCAAACAGTATATGATAAAAATCCTTGTCACAAAATGTACAGGCAATGTATCTGTGCCAGTAAGTAGTATACAGTGTTAATTTTATGGGATGTTTGGTCAACTTCTATCAGAAGAATGACCTTTCTATTTGAATGCCCTTTTATGTGGTACACAATGTAGAGAAGTGCAAACAAAAGAAATCTTCTGAAAAAAAAAGAAAAATTGTATCTGGGAGTGCATGAGAGAAGAGAGAGGAAAATGTGCCTTTATGACTCTTTCAGAGGTCCAGAACTTCCTGTATGAATTCTGTGTTCACCTAATTTATGTTTTCTGTAACAGAAATGGCCTCGTGTTGTCCCAAAGCAGGGTTGTCTACTCCATGTGCAAAGGCCAGTACACACACAGAGTAGAGGTATTTTCTATTTATTGCGTTTCTGCAGAGGTGGGTGCTGGGTGGTTATCCACAAAGCTAGCACCCCTGCCTGAAAACTCTTAGGAATATTTGTACAGTTCAAAACACAGAAATACATGCCCGTAATTATAATTATTGGTTAGTACCTTATCTTAACAATTTCTATTGGTTAGTACAGTCTCTCACTTAAAGTTACAAGGTCCTTTAATTGATGGGCACATGCTCCAGCACCGCGGGAGGGTAGTCCAACTCAGCCTCCAATGGAGTTGGTGGTCTCAATCTCCCACTGCCACCTTTATCTTTCCCTCAGTTACTGCAAATTCTTGTTGACTTTATGCCTTACCCAGCAGCTGTCTGGTTTTCAGCTGATTTCAGAGCTTTCTGTTGTGGAATGTTCCTTATTATCAGCTTTCTGTTCTTCTTCAAGGGTATATTCATTAGCAAGGCATTTATTGTTTATACCAAGTGTCTGGTTTCACAGGGCCTTGTGACTCTTACAGCTCTTTATTCTTTCCTAGTGAGAGATTCTACCTTCTAAAATATCTTTTACTTTTTTAAAAGTACATTCTGCCTTCTTAAAGTACATCACTCAGTCCATTGTGAAGACAGCTCAGTAAGCCCATGTTACCAGATAGGAGGTCCTTGGTGAGCAGGTAGTGGCAGTACTGACTAATCAAGAGTTCTTGTTGGCTGTGTGAGCTCCTCTTAGGTATCTAAAACTGACTTTTTTAGGAATATTTGTACAGTTCAAAACACAAAACCCGTAATTATAATTATTGGTTAGTACCTTATCTTAACAATTTCTATTGGTTAGTACAGTCTCTCACTTAAAGTTACAAGGTCCTTTAATTGATGTGCACATGCTCCAGCACTGCAGGAGGGTAGTCCAACTCAGCCTCCAATGGAGTTGGTGGTCTCAATCTCCCACTGCCACCTTTATCTTTCCCTCAGTTACTGCAAATTCTTGTTGACTTTATGCCTTACCCAGCAGCTGTCTGGTTTTCAGCTGATTTCAGAGCTTTCTGTTGTGGAATGTTCCTTATTATCAGCTTTCTGTTCTTCTTCAAGGGTATATTCATTAGCAAGGCATTTATTGTTTATACCAAGTGTCTGGTTTCACAGGGCCTTGTGACTCTTACAGCTCTTTATTCTTTCCTAGTGAGAGATTCTACCTTCTAAAATATCTTTTACTTTTTTAAAAGTACATTCTGCCTTCTTAAAGTACATCACTCAGTCCATTGTGAAGACAGCTCAGTAAGCCCATGTTACCAGATAGGAGGTCCTTGGTGAGCAGGTAGTGGCATTACTGACTAATCAAGAGTTCTTGTTGGCTGTGTGAGCTCCTCTTAGGTATCTAAAACTGACTTTTTTTTTCTTATATAGCACTTGTTAAATTCCATTACAACTTTACCAGTAACAGCCCATCTTTTGCAATGAATGTAATGAGAAAAAACGTTTTGCGTAAATTACTTGCCTTTTCTTTTAAAAATTATCTTTCCTGGTTGAGTAGCTGCGTTTTTTTTTTCCCTCCTTTATTAAAAGCTCCTGTGGTGGTAGTGGCTGCATGGTTTGTTACTCAGAGCTCACACTTTTTCAGATTCGCTGTGAGTATTGCCTTTGAAGTCCCCAGGAAACCAATGGCAGCTCCAGGGTGATCTTTTTACCTGGCTCTAGTGTCCTCCCACACAGTTCTGTTCTGCCTTTTTCTGTATCAGAGACAGGTGACACATTCATCTGTCATTGGCACCATTGGGTATTTTCACCAAACGTTTAGAAGATTCAAGCCATGTAGTTGTGCCTCTGTTGCCCCTTCACGTGCAATATTTCAGTGTGGTCATCTTTGGATTTGCTGTAATACTTATTACTGTGATCTAAATTGCATGACCTCTGGATTTCCTTTTATCAAGTTCACTCTTTGTAACAAATCAGAACAAAAGCAAACCCCTCTATCTACAAAATTAGGTGGTTTCTGAAAAATTGCAATCTGGGAACACGTTTGTGCTTTGGTGCAGATTTGCTCATCTTGTTCATGATGGTCATTTAAAATCATCATATGAGGTGAACATTCATCATAGTGATCAAGGTTTTGTTGCCTTTAGCATAAGAAACGTGTTCCTACTTTATGCCTCTTTAATTCTTACGTGACTTTTTGTTTTTGTAGATAAATTGACACAATGTGGAGCAACAAGTCGAATGAGGTGCCTCTACAAAATCCGAGGCATAACCAAAACAAGGATTCTACCAGAGGTATGTTTTTTCTTTCTGTTTTATTGCCTTGTTTTGGAAGATGTTTTATTCTGAGTTATTTGAAACTTTGGGGTTTTTTTACAGAAAGCATTCTTCTGTGTCAATTTGGAAGCTGAGACCATGTGTTACACGGCTCCCTTTTTGCAGAGAGCAGTTTCATGCTTTGATCTGGAGAGTATTTGCTGATCTGCATTAGGAATTGCCAGCCTAAGATACGGTTGCCAAGATGGCACAGAGACGGCATTTTTTTGTTTGAGTGCTGTAGAGGAGGAGCAGTGTAGGAACAGAAATTTAGAACTGTAGGCTCTTGAATGAAGTGAAGAAGAGCCTGAGAGGCAGTTACTCCTGACTCTTGCTCAATTCCAAAGTGATGAAGGGCTAAAGACACTTGAAGAGCAGCAGTATGTTATCACTAAGATGACTTGCAGAACTTCTGTCTCCTGGAACTGGAGAAAGCCTGTTAGCTTTTTACTGTCATGATTAGTCTTTAATTTAGAAAGGGGGCAGGAGGAAGGGAAATTATAGTACATCCCTGAGAAGAGGAAAGCTCTAGTCTGTAGAACAGCTGAGTCGCATGCTGTCTGTGGTTCAAGATCAGTCTTATGATCTACACTATGACAAAACTGGACTCCAGAAGTTATTTTGAAAGTAGAGACAGATTATTATTTTTTTTCTGTAAGAGGATATTATTGCTGACATGTTCAGTTTATTTTAAAATTATGTACCATGTGAAACTGAGGTGTTCTGTAGACATGAAGCACCATCTCTTGAAATCAAAGTGAAGTTGTTTCTATCTTACTTCCTTAACCCTCTTCCTTTGTGTTATCTTACCTGAAATGAAATTGGCAGCTTTTTTACTAGAAGCAAAAATACTACTACTCTCCATGGTTCTGATGCACATTAAGGTTTTGGATATTGCATTATGCAAACCATTAGATTAGAAGAGAAGCATTGGAAACCAAAAGAAGGGGGGAACTGAGGAAGTAAATAGTTTTAAAGGAAAATAGTACTGCATTCTACTGAACTGGATTGTGCATAGAGCACGTGCTGCCTGTTTAGTTTATAAAGCTGAGGTTGATTAGTGCCTCCTGCTTGTTCTTTGCAAGCATTGCTTCTGTTTTGTTTATAGGGTGTAAATTCAAAATTCACATGTTCAAAGCTTGGTTTTTGAGTAGAGTCTTTCAGTGACCACGTACTCATGCTTACTTTACGGAAGAAGAAAATGAAAGGGCAGGGGGGGAAATAAGTAGTTAAACCCTAGTGTGATGGAAAAATGTAAGGTATTTGTGTTGGGGTAGATAACCAGCTTTATTTTAGCTTCTAAACTTCTTCTATAATGTGTGGTAGATATGATTTCAAGTGTATTAATGCATTCAACCCAACTTAGTGAACTCATTAAATTTTACATTAAATATTTTATTGCTCTGTTAAGATGAGGCTGTTATTAGTCAGGACTCTCGCAGAGGAGATTTATAGGCTAAAATTGAGTCATTGAAAGAACTTGATTAGTGAGCCCATGAAAATTGTTTTGAAGCAACATTTTATTTCATTGTTTTCCATGTACTAATGAGAACTCTTTTTATTTGTTCTGCTCTGTAAGATCTAACTGCAGCATGGGCTACTTTTTCTCAGACTAAGGCTGCTGTAAGTACTGATGTTTTCTCTTTCTTTTTTTGTCATAACAGTCTTTCTGTGGCAACCTAAGTGCTTAGATATCACCCTAGTTTCTAAAACCTGGCTTCAGTGAAGTCAAACAGCTTGGTTTTTTGGGGGAATTATCTCTTTCCCATTGCTTTGTCCCTCTCTTTTATAATAGCTGAGCATCAGTGTGGGGTTTTACATGTGGAATCTTGTATCTTGCTCCATTTTGAATAGAGTATTAAGAATTTATTCCAAGTGGCATTAATATTTCATTCTGGCCAAGCATTAAGACTCTCAACGGCATGTTGTTATTAATTTTCTTCACAACAGTCTACTTATGGAAGCAATACTATACAACAAAACCTACTTTAGATAATATTTTTAAACAAAACTTATCAATCTGATGTAGTTGCTGGCCTTAGGGCTATACAGTTTTGCAACATCAGCCTTGTGATGTTGGTTTTGCCTGCAGTTTTATTCTTTATGAAAATGAGGAAGAATTTGTCACATTGGGGGGGAAAAAATGTAGCTTAAAAATTGAAAACAATATTCTAATTTGCATTACCTTCAAATTCTAGCTACGTCATATAGAGAACAAATTGGAAATAGCTCCCACCAGCACAGCCGTGTTCGATTCTGTCATGGATGCCAAGAAGCCCTCTGCTAGCTCGAGCAGGAAAATAAGCAGAAAGGGTATGTATTATTGAGGCCACTGTGTGTGAGGCAGGATAAAGCCACTGCATTCTGGGAAAATTTGATTTCTCTTTCCTGCCTCCAAGTTGTCTCCTGCTAACGATCTTTATTCGTGAAACTCTAATTGCCCAGGATAAACTAATGTTTTCTTCCCTTAGCTTAGGAAGAAAAGTGTTCTATCATAGTCACTTGGTTAGAGGGGGTAACAGGACTTGCCCCGTGCTGTAAGTGAGCAGTGCTTATCCCATTCTGATACCATGTTTTTCTGGAGGTTTTGGATAACAATTGTATATGCCTATGTTTACACTGGACTAGCTGTTTATTAATGTTTGTCAACTGTTACACCCTCATAGAATGCTAAATCTGATGCTTCCTTTATTTCATTTAAGGAGTTCATTTGCTTGTAAGAAATAAGCCCTTGTTTTAAAAACTTAACTATTTAGAGCATTCTGGTAGTGTGCTGCTGGGGAAGAACAGACAGATCGACCTCTAGTGGCAACACAGTCAACTTTCACAAATTTAATTACTTATCATTAGTGTTTAAGCATTATTATCTGTCTTTAAATATGATCATTGTTTCAAACACCTACCGCATGGGTCCTAATAGTTGAAATCAGCTTGTTAAAAAAGAGATGGAGTAGTTTAAATGCTGTTTTAGAGTGCTGCTCAAACCCAGGAAAAACTGTGTTCTTAATTGTTCTGGCCCCGAGAGCTTTCTCTTTCTGGAGAGATAGGTACATAGATGGTTCTTTGGTTTCTGCTTCAGCTTCCCGGTCCTCCAGCCAAAATAAATCAAGCAAGGACAAGTCCTCACGCAGCCCTCTTCGAGCGACCACCCTTGAAAGCAATGTGAAAAAAAGCAATCGTGTGGAATTTCGGGAACCATTGGCTTCATACAGGTTAGTGCTGGGACAGTTGACTATTAAAAAAGTATGCTAAGATCAGAATTAAGCTAACAGTGATGTTTTTGACAACTCCTCAAAAATTGATTTGCTCGCCCACCTCCATGAGCAGCATGTGATGTTGGACAAAAATGTCTTTCTTTTAAAAAAAAATTTACAAATTTATTTTCTGTCCAGTGAGTATGAATTTGAAGTCGAATGTGTTGAAAAGGTCATCAAGTTGATGTGGCTGCAGCCTTTGTGGCCTGATAGGTTTGATAGGTATTTAGTTTCAGTAATAAGGACCAAAAAGGTATTTCCTAATCCTTTTCTGACTTTGTTTTGTTAGTTCTTCAGCACATACTCCCCTGTGTATTACCATAAGACAGTGTAGAGCAAGAACATCTAATACTAAAGGTGCATTCAGTTTTTGTTTGTGTGAGAAATCCAAATAAAAACAATGGTATCAAAGAGTGGCAATAAAGCCTTGCAGGCCACAGAACATGGTGGGATGTGAAGAATGAAGGAAAATACGGAGACTGCTTTTCCTAGCCTGTGTTAAGTAATGTAGTGGATTTAAGATGCCTTGAAAGTTTTCATAAAGAGAACCTGCAGCAGAAATACACTAGTTATAACTTGCTGTAATATCAGAGCGTAGATGATTTTTACCATAACTTCTCCAATTCCTTGTGTTTTATAAGCAGTGTGTGTTTTTTGCAGAGGCATCCCTGATGAATAGCTTGGTAATAGTTGTTTTTTTTTAAATGGGATTCTAACACACGCTTTGTATTTTTTTTCTAAATATTCTCCCAGTGAAATCAAATTGCTGTTGACTGATTGGAGTGGGACAGTGGTGGGTTATTTTTAGTACCACTACATCTCCATTAATAATTGTTACCCTGACATCTAAGCTTTGGTCATCTTTTCCACTTCTTGTGTCAGTTGTAAGGTTCTTCTCCATCCTTGTTGCATGGGAGGCTGATTTGGATCAGTTGTTTAATCTTGGGTCAGTTTTGTTAATTAACAGCTTTGTTGTCTACCCTATCTGAAATAACTTACTCGCATCAGTTATTTGTTTTAAAAACACGTAGTAAATTTAACAGACTTTATTTATATCTATTATCAATTATATCTAATTGAAAGAATAGCTTTCTTACAGTAAGAAGACTGTGTGGCATTGGGGAGATTAATTTGGGGATTACCATCAGACCTGTTACATTAACACATTACTCCTTCACTGAGAACAGTGTGTAGTCAATGCTTAAAGTGTACGTAGGAAAGCAAAACCAGAATAATGGGTAGAACCATCTCTGTGTGTATATATTTATATACGCTTTTGGTGAAATTCTATGCAATTAAACCACTCAACTTTTATGTGTATTGGTAATGATTACTGCACTATATAGGAGGAATGTGCTACTAGAGGGAGGTAGATGGTTTCATAAGTATGATGTTATGATGGTTTCATAAGTATGATGTTATGATCTGTCTTAAATGAGTTCTTTAAACATACTTGCTGAGGAAACAAGCCAGGTAGCTTAGGTGCTGGATTTTCACATCTTCAGCCCCTTGTCAGTAAAAATATTACATACATTTTTGTCCTAACGACATAGGTACCAATTGTCTATTCAAATACAGAGTCTGTTTTTTTGTCAAAAAAAAATGCTAAGAGGTCCTTAGTTTGTTGAATTTCTAAGCTCTCAGTAAATTTTACATTTTTTGCAATACAGCCAGTTCACTCTGAAGTTCTTGTCAAGGATTGCCTCTAATGCTCAAATACAGGGCAGGAGGTTTTGGTGCAATATATTTATTTTCTCAACTAATGAATGTGCTGTTGGGGAGCTGTGCGTGTGTGCTTTGCTTTGTTTTAGAGAACATACATTAATTATGCATCTTTTAAGTTTTTCATTTGGTTTTCATTTAAAGCTTTTTTAAATTGAAGGGCAACATTACTGCTTGCTGATTTTTTACATGCCCTAATTTCAGCTCTTCAACTTTATATATAGTCCTGTTCAGACAGAGAGTGCAGAAATTGAGATTTGGAACAGAAACCTTTCAGTTTCGTCAGACTTGCGCTATTAAATGTGTGGTGATCAAACTTTAAAAGAACTTGCCTTTAAAGTGAAGACTAGGTATAGGAAGTAATTCTTTTAGTTAATGAACATGCTGATTGCTGGGTTGGAAGGTCCTACAGTTGTGTTTCTGATGGTGGCTTTTTTTGTTTTTCTTTCTATGACATCAGGGACACGTATAGCTCTCTGCCTTATCAAAGTTCTAGCCAACTTGAGGCCAAGCAACTGCTCTCTGGTTTGGACTTCAACGAAGCAGAAGGGAAGACTGAAATAACAGGCTGTATGATACATGACCAAGATGAACGGGATCTACACAGCAGAGATTTTGAAAGCCCATGTTCTTCTGCTGCAGATGAGACTGTTGTTAGGTATTTGAATGACAGACCAGCAATTGATGCCCTGCAGAATAATGAGGCATTTCTTAAGGTTGCAATACCTCCAAGGTTGGAAGAAGAAAAAGCTGGTGGCTCCAGAGGAGATTCGAGTAGCACTAAAACTCCTCAGAGTAACACATCCCAGGACAGTGACCTGAAAGTGTCTTCTCCTTCTGCCACGAGTACTTCTAGTGCTCATAGGCTGGAAATCTTGAAACGGCGGCAGCATGATGCTAAGTTGGAGAAGCTGAAGGAGCGGATTCGAAAGCAGTGGGAGCATTCTGAAGAACTGGGTGGCAGAGGGCAGCACTTGGGGTATGCTGAGCAACCCGTCGTGATCACAAACGTGGAGAATGCGGTGACTCCCAAAGTCAGGAAAGTGACAGCTGCACCTGCAGCTCCATCATATAGAGGTACGGAGGTGCAGAATCGCTCTCCATTGGTTATACGTGGTGAAGGAGTGGAGTTTGATTAATTGAGCAACATAGAATCACAGAATCACAGAATCTTAGTAGTTGGAAGGGACCTCTGAGATCATAGAGTCCAACCACAAAAAAAAAAACAAAAACCCAAAAAAACCACCAAACAAATACAAAACACACCACACCAAACACCCACCAAAACCACCGCACCCACCAACTAAACCCCACACTCAACACCTTGCCATAAACCAATAACCTTGGGCACTAGAGCATGCCCTGAAGAGCCATGTCTATACGTTTCTTAAATACCTCCAGGGATGGTGACTCCACCACCTCCCTGGGCAGGCTGTTCCAGTGCCTGACCGCTCTCTCAGTAAAGTAATTCTTTCTAATATCTAATCTAAATCTCCCCTGCTGCAACTTCAGACCATTTCCTCTGGTCTTGTCGTTCGTCCTTTGGGAGAAGAGGCCAACACCTGCCTCTCTACAACCTCCTTTCAGGTAGTTGTAGAGAGCAATGAGGTCTCCCCTCAGCCTCCTCTTCTCCAAACTAAACATGCCCAGTTCCCTCAGCCTCTCCTCATAGGACTTGTTCTCCAGGCCCCTCACCAGCTTGGTGGCTCTCCTCTGGACACGCTCCAGCACCTCAATGTCCTTCCTGTAGTGAGGGGCCCAAAACTGAACACAGCACTCGAGGTGAGGCCTCACCAGTGCCGAGTACAGAGGCACGATGACTTCCCTACTCCTGCTGGCCACGCTATTCTTGATACGAGCCAGGATGCCATTGGCCTTCTTGGCCACCTGGCCACATCTTAAAGCATGAACACGACTCATAGCAGTGTTTGGGCAATATGGGAGTAGATAGCATGGTTTGATAATAGATATGGGTAAGAAAGAAAAGAAGTTCTTGCCAATTTACAGAAGCGTGGATTATTTTGAAATTCTTCCTGTCTCTTCTCACAAATTACTATGAAAAAAGAAGCTCGCTGTATTAGTGCTTGGGTTTATTTCAATGTGTTTTTCTTACAGTCCCAGAGTTTAGTAACATTGTATTGATTGAGAAAGCCTTTTACATTTTTAATGATCTCTCCTTCACCAGTCGGATGTTTTTCAACTGTGAGCATGTGACAGACTGGTATATTGCTTTCTTCTAATTTAGCATTAGAAATTCAAGTAGTTCCTTTCTTACTTGGCAGTTTCCCACCCTGCCCACCCTGAAAAAGCTTTATTTACATTTTATACACATACTTTAAACTCTTGAATTGTTTACTTTCAGGTTTCAATCCCACTGAAACGAAGATTCGCGCTCCAGATGGAAAGATCTGGCGTGAGCAAGAATTTCACATTACTCGGGAGCTGTATAGAGATATAGCACTCCAGTTAACAGGTGAGGCACAAACTGAATTGATTAAACTACACAACCTTCTAGAAGAGACAGAGAAATGTACGCATGGAATTTTTTTTCAGAGTTCTTACCTGCAGGAGGGAGGGAACAGGTAGACCAGAAGAAGATTGAAGAAACCTCTTAAATCATCTAGATTTTATTTCTTCTACAACTCTTTTACCTTCAGTATAATAAGGCTTGAATATGATATGGGAAGGGAGACTGGGTAACTTTGCAGTGATACATTAACAAAACATTACCTTTTGGGGTTTATTCCATGTGAAGGTGTAGGAGGGAATGTTGAATTTTAGAAGCTCAGAAAACTGTTACTCATTCCTCTTTGCTTAGTGGTCTTTTGAAAAACATTAAATATAGTTATGACAAAATAGCAACACAAGAAAAGCGATCTTTTTTTAAGTGATGAACTCATTTAGCAATGCTGTCTTCTGATGCTTAAAAGTGTGAGCAAAGATGATAAAAAAAAATGCTGTATATTTGCTTGACAGTTACACTGCTAAAAGACCAAAACAGTAATACGTGCTTTATGTTTTCAAACGTACTGCATCAAGACACACTCTTTATTAATTTTTCACTCTGGAAAACTGTAGTGCCATTGGCAGCTCCTTTCTCTGGGTGATGTAGGGTAGAATGCCCAAGTGTGCTTTTTGATTTGCTAGGCTGGTTACAGTGCAGCGCTGTAAGGTTGAATTGCTTTTGACTGGCTGAGTTGGGGGAGGGGGGAGAGATCAGATGCATAAAAAGGAAGGGAATGGAAAATAAAATCCCCTGAGAACCTCTAGTTGTGCAGCTTAAGACTTTGCTTATTTAAAATACCATTTCTCATTGGTCAAAACATTTAGGATTGGAGGACAGTGTGATGAGATTGTAAACCTGTAGGTGTCTGTTGATAGTATAGTGGCTGGTATAGGAACAATTAGACTTCAGTTTTCTTTTGGTTGTACAGCTTGACAAGGTACTGAGTAATTTTTCTGGAACTACTCATAAAATGTTCAGAAAGAAGGGCCACTTCTTTTCAGTAGAAGTGTTTTTCAAATATTCTACTCAGCATCAGTCCATGACAGTAATGCTAAATTTCTAAAGACTTTTCATCTATGCTAGCTTTTTTCAATTTTTTTAAAATTTTTTATAAGCATAATATGATCCATGAGCTCTTTATAGAAATCCAAATATTTGAAAGTTTCATTGAAGAGGTCCAATTAAAAGGCTGTTTAGATCATGTGTTCAGTGGACTTCTATCTACAAAAGGAAGGAGCTGTGTGTGTGTCCAGCCTGTCCTGATGCCCTGGGTAGAACAGCTGTTGTGGAACGTGTCTTCTGTCTGACCTGAAAAGATTATATTGAATAGCTGATTCCAAGTAATCAAATGCTGGTGCTGCACATAATACATACTGTAGAAGTATTTTTAGGTTGTCGGATTATCTATCCACGTGTTAATTCTATATTAAAGTTGCAGCATGTGGAGTTCTGTGTGTGTACAGTCAGTTTTATCAAAACTGTTCCATGCTCCCTAGTGCTAAAATAAGCTACAAAATCTCTAATACCTACAGAAGCATTGTTCTTTACTACAATGTGAATTTTACAAGAAGCATAGACCATGCAGAATGCCTATATCTTAGTTTAGTAGTTTAGTACTTAGACTAAAGGATATTGTATGGACCTTGAGCTTCCAGTAATTCTGTCTTAAAGATATTTGGGATTTGCTGTACTAGAGGAAAACTGCCATAAAATGAATAGATTGAGTGGGAAGCAGCCTGCAGTTCCCTGGTATCAGGAACTGTTTGTGGCTGAAAAGAGGCGAGGAGGCAATCTAGATTTCTGCAGATGCAGTCACTGGGGCCTCTGGTACTTGATGCATTGATTCTGTCTTCCTTGTGCTTGTTGTCAACCTCAAAGAGAACTGGAAAATTTGTAAGGGAAGGATATTGAGAGGGAGAAGGACTCTTAAATTTCCATTCTCGCATTCTTTAATACAACCTGTTATTTTGTCTCTGATATTTTTATGGGCATCCATCAGAGAGCAAATTCAGCTGAAATTAAGGGCTGTTAAATTAGTATTGACACCTAAATAATAAAGCTTCAGATCTGTCTGTGGGGGGGTTTTGGTTGTCTAATCACATTCTTTATACAAGAGGAGCAAGCAAACAATGGTAATGGTAGCCTTAGCTACAGTTCATCTTCGGGGGGATTAAGAATAGAGCATCTTCAAGACAGGTGAATTAAAGTACTTCAACAAAATCTTTGAAAATGTCTAGTGTTGCTGCTGAGACTGAGCATAAAGCTTGTCTGTCCTTCTTGGGCAATGCTTGTCTCTGCTTTGTACCTTAGGCAGCTGTGGCGATTGAGCCACATCCCAAGTTTTCTTTTTGTTCTTTACACTAATGTGAAAACATGGTAAAATATGACACCATCTTTGGTAAGTGTCTTGGTAAGTGTATTCTTATGAGGAAAGTCTTATGAGGAGAGGCTGAGGGAGCTGGGGTTATTCAGCCTGGAGAAGAGGAGGCTGAGGGGAGACCTTATTGCTCTCTACAACTACCTGAAAGGAGGGTGTAGAGAGGTGGGGGTCGGTCTCTTTTCTCAAGTCACAGGCGACAGGACAAGAGGAAATGGCCTCAAGTTGCGCCAGGGGAGGTTCAGGCTGGATATTAGGAAAAATTTTTTCACTGAAAGGGTTCTCAGGCATTGGAATGGGCTGCCCAGGGAGGTGGTTGAGGCACCATCCCTGGAGGTGTTCTTGGTAAAATATGACACCATCTTTGGTAAATATTCCTAGCATCTCTAAAGCCTAAAATCTAATTGTCTTGTAAATGAAGGCTTTGGTGATTCAGAGTAATTCTGCATCACTGGGTGAATTCTGTGCCAAGTTTTGCGGGCAGTAGAGCGCACAGGTATCCTGTCTTTCACGCTCTGGCGTGGAGGCAACGAGTGAATGTGCTCTCATGCATTAATGTGGAAGCAGCAGCCCGTGTGTTTCAGGAGTGAAGGGACTATGTGTTCCTGTGGAACATTAATACTATAAAATGTAGTACCTATTGTAGATACTACAGGTAGTTAGAACCAACAATTGTTCATGTCAGACTGCCAACATCTCTTTTAAAATTGGAAATGAATTTTGTAAAGATCTGATATGGTGTTGCCGTGGCTTCTCTGTGTTCCAGTGTGTAGATAAACACCACTTGATTCACAATTTTAGTGCTATGAGAATTTTAAAATGCTGGACTGGGAGTAATCAATCTTGGTATTTAATCTGGGAGAGTCAGTGAATTTTGATGTTTCCTCCGAGTTCTGCTTTTTCAAAGTAAATGTTGAAGCAAACTTGTTATTCTGTGTTCTTTTCTGTGGGATATCACTTAACAGCTTCTTTTTGTTTTTAGGGAATTCAACAGTGAAAGAAAAACCTAGTGAGAGAAACAAAGAGAAAAAAGCAACCAGACCAGTGCGGAAAGTGCAAAAACTGACACGGTTGTCAAGCTCAGAGTCCAAACAAGGTGACTAGCTCTACTGTAGAGGGAAGACTGTTGCTTGTCCTTCAGATAAGAGTTTTGTCTCAAGAAATAAAGAAAAATTAATGCATATTGCTTTCAGAGTCTTCTCAGATGTGCAGCAATGCTGTTGTAGTGTGTTTGTAGACTGTACACTGCACTGGGGATGTGTATGTTTTTGTTCTTGGTTGGTTGGCTGTGTGTGCTTTTTTGGGTTTATTTTAATTTTCTGCCTTTCCAATTGCTCTGTGTGCCTTAGGAAAACTGCTGAAGAGTGTGTGTGTCTTTGGGGGGCCAACACAGACAAAAAGTAGCAGTAGCCCTGCCGTGGATCCTGGTTCTGTTTTGCTTGTGTTGAAGAGGGTTAGTGCCAGATTTACAGCTCCGTGAATAATGCTGAGAGGAGGAACGGAGATGATACTAAAATCAGTGCCAGTGGGACTTGCCGAGTTGCCCTCCTCTGTGAGGAGGGGCTGCACTGAAAGCTCTTCTCTTGTAGAGTTTCTCAATGGGGAAGCAGAGAACAGGTTGTCTTTCTGGCTCTTCTCTGGCTGTTGTTCTTCTGTGCCTCATGTCAAGTTGTTGCTGTCCTGCAACTTCAGTTCTGGCTTGACCCATTCCTATTTTTTCCAGTTAGTAAAAGAATATAAAAGCACATTCCCTGGCAAGTCTTACAAATCTTGATATTTATAAAGGAAAGTTTCTTTCTTTTACTAATTAAGATTTTATGATTATTTTTTTTTAATTTCCACTGTTGTATGACATTTCCACTGTCTATTAAATAAAATTAAAGTATTTAGAGAAGGTCAGGTGAGCCAGTTACTGTAGAGTAGTGCCTTATAGTAGAAAATCAAATTAACTGCAGCAGAATTCTCTCAGTGCCTCTTAGTTTTCCAGTCGCATTATTTTTTGATATTGTAAGTAATAAAAGAATCAGGAGGAATTCCATACCTGCTTCATGTTTGGTTTTAGTTTTCATACAAAGTAAGCATTTATGACTGCAGTCACACTACAATTTTTTTCCCTTTAAATACATGCAGTGTTAATCTTGCACCTTTTAAGGTTTTATATTTCTCTTTACGTAAAGTGACCCGTAATCAGTAAATGCTTTGAAGAAGGCCTATTAAGAAAAAAGAAGCTGCTTTTAAAAAATTGCTACAAAGGGTTTTTGAGAGTAAATATGCACTTCTGCATGCTGTAAAGCTGCATGTAAATATTTTGTTGTGATAATGAATGCAAATACTTAAAAGTAAATGATCAGCATGGATTTGCTCCTTCCTGTAAGGAACTCTACTAAACTAACTTATGGTTTTATGACAGTTCCAAGTGAGGGAGGAGCACAGAGAGTGTTTAGCAATGGTTATTCTCTGTAATGGATTAAATGTGAGGAGAATGATGGCCTGAAATCCCTAGAAGATAAGAACCAGATCTAAGTGGGGTACCCATGATGGTCTGTCCTCTTCCAGTCATAGCAATAAGAAACTACTTAACATAGCCAAGGCTATAATTAGCCACAGCTCATATTCTGCTCCGTTAGCGTGTTTTAGTTCAAACAGCTGACTTGAAATGGAAGATGAGAGTTTATGCTGCCTTTTTAAACACACACAGAAGTAACTGAGAACAGTGAGTTCGGCAAGAGTACCCCTTCGGCTGATAAGTCTGTTTCAAAGAGGCTTGTAGTGATGTGTTTCAAGTGACAGATTTGTGAAATACTTACATAATGTACAATGCAAGCAAGGAGTAGGGTTAGTAAATGAATGAATAGTTGTGACTGAACAGCTTTCCTCCTCCTGGTTTAAAATAACGAAAAGGAAGGTGGGACTGAGAACTGGGAAACACTATTGGTCTGCTGTTCTGGATTTCACTTGAAGTTGGCTTTGGTATCATGTCTTCAAAGTCCTTTTGGGCCCAGAATACAGGCCTTTTCTTTGCTGTGTTGTGTTCGAGCTGCAGTGTCTGGGGTTGTTAAGGCAGTGCTGTCAGAGGTAGAAACTGAAACCGAATGGTTAGAAATCAACTGCCAATCAGGTACTCAGGTACTTTTCTAGCAATAAAATACTGCTAAATGGTCTGAATTTAGTATTTTTAATACTTTTTATATGATGCTTTTCTCCAAAGCTCTTTAAGGTCATTATTTCCAAAAAACGATTAATAATATTGGAAGTTAGTGAGATGAAAGGTGAGTTGAATAGACCCAGCATTTAATCTAACCAATATTAGGTAAAGGCGCAACTATACCCAGTTTTTATCATTTAATCATATGTAGGATGATAAAATAATAGTAATAACATTTTGATTGGACTTCTGTCACCTGCAAGGTAATCTGTTCTTGAATTAAGGGGTGTGTCTTAACTATTTTCAGTCGTGACACAGAAAAACTGCTGCTTGTTATTTTTTAACCTCCTCAGAAGACACCTGTCTCAACAACTAATGATCTGTAAAAAATCTCTAAAGTTGTTTTTTTCTAGAATATCAGCTAATATTCTTTTAATATGAAGATGAATTGTTTTTTTATCTCCCATCTTCATTTTTGTTGTTCTTCTTAAAACATTTTAGATACTTGTATCTTTCATTTGTTTGTTTGTTTTCGGTGTTTAAGTGGAGGTGAACAGCTTCTTGTCAGTCTCCCCCAGTAACATTTACTTGTATGTTTTAGACATGAATAACCCTTTTTTCTTTTTTTAAATGAGTTTTTGTAGGGCTTTAATGTGCTTACGGTATATTTTAAATGAGTTTTTGTAGGGCTTTAATAGGCTTACAGTATATCTTGGATTTTTACATTGTGTTCTGTGTAGGCACGAAGCACTGATAGTTGTGTGATTCAGCTGTTGAGTGGTACATCACTGTTACAACTGTTTTGTGTAACTGCAGCCATATGACTTATGCAGAATTAATGGTATAGAAATGATTAACGGTTGCAATAAATGCTTCTTTTGGATACGTTGGAAAATCTGTCCAGTGCTTGACTTTTATTTATTACTTATTGCGCAGGTGGAAACTATGTAATAAGTGCATCCTCCTGGCGGGAGGGACAAAAGCTGGTAAAAAAGATACTGGGTCCAGCTCCCAGAATAGAACAGGACAGAAGAGCTGTATCTAGTGACAGAACAGGACGAGAGAGAGCTGCCAAGTCTGGTAAGTTGTACTTTTATCACTGGACTTTTTTCATTGTTCTTAATTTATTATATAACACTGCATGTCTGTAAAATAAAACTGACTTCTGGGTGGAATGTAATCAGTTTCTTATTAAAACAACTCCTATTTTTAACCTGGGATTCAAGGGGGGATACTTCTGTTCACATCCATGACTGGGATGCTTAACCTCTATTCCTGAGTGGATTATGAACTTCTCTTGGTGTCATGGGAAGCCTGCCCTGCCCATGTGTCTTGACAATCAGTATGTGCATTTCCAGTGCTCAGGAGCTCTGGAAAAGGTGAGAAGTAGGTTGCAACCAAAAGTATTGCATGACCTGCAATCTGTCTTTGCCTCTTGAAGTCAGTGGGGAGAGGAATTGCTAGAAGTTGTCCGCAGGCCACATGAATTTTCCAGATGTGCTGCATATAATATGTGAGATATGGTTGGTCATCCCTGTTTTACAGTCCTTGTGGTTCTTCCAGATACTATGTAATGACATGCCTTTGCATCATAAATCTTCAGTGATTTCTCCACCAGCCCTTTTCAGAATTTATCCAGAATCTCAGACAGGGCAATTAAAGGACCTTGGTAGCTGCTGTACACCTGTAAGGTGTGCACCTGTGCACCTGTGAGGTGGTGAGGCTAGTAAGAGTATAAAGGATGTGAGCTCAGTCTAAGCAAAGGCTGCTGCATTCAGACCGTGATACTGAATGGAGCAAAAGCATGTTTTCAGTGAGATCTGCACTCCTCCCTCATCCTCATTTTGCAGCTGTTTCAGTGATGGCATGTCATTCCTAAGTTTGATTTTTACCTGAAATATTTGACATGTCTTATTCTTTAGCAGGCTGTATTGGAAGGACGGGTTCAGATTCTAGACTGGATGTTACCCGTAAAACCTCTTCAAGAAGTTCTGAAAGGTCGAGGAGTAAAGTGCGGTCTGAGAATAACCTGAAGAAACTGGAAGCTGCTCTTCCAGATGGTAACCAAGAAGATCATGGCTCTGTAAATAAGGACTTCCTGCCCGTGGAGATACGTGGCATTCTCGATGACTTGCAGTTGGATTCCATGAGTACAAAGCAAGAGAAAGATGTGGAAAAGCAGAATCAGAAATCTGTTTTGCCTGCTCAAAATGCCAGGAGCCACAGTCCAACCAAAAGGAAACCGGACAAGATTGCTGCCAGTGAAGAGCCTCAGGTGATCTCTAAGAAACGTCACTATGATACGGATGAGGTTCGTCAGTACATCATCAGGCAGCAAGAAGAGAGGAAGAAGAAGCAAAATGAAGAGAAGAAAGCACAAAAGGAGGCAACAGAACAGAAGAACAAAAGGCTCCAGGAGCTCTACAGAAAGCAGAAGGAGGCTTTTACTAAAGTGAAAAACGTGCCTCCTACTGAACCTTCAGCAGCCAAACGGTTACAGGAAACCTATTCTAAACTATTGCTGGAACATACACTTCTAGAAGAGCCACCTCAGCTGCCTACAGTGCAGGAAGCACAGGTATAGCTGATTCACTAACTTAATGTGTTGCCGTTGTCTGCAGGAATAGGAGGTCATCTGTTTAGGAAGGTCATGACTTGTCCTGGTCTGGCCAGTGCTTAAGAGAAAGGATATAAAGAAAACTGTGTCATTTTTGCTTAAACATAAGCTCGGATCCAGAGCCTCTTTGCTAGTGGCCACTTCTTGGCACAGCAAGGCCTACTAGAAAGGTGAATGGAAATATTTCTATTATAAATAGAAGCAGAATTAGATATTAGTTAACAGTAGCTATAAATGTTGGGTTTTAAGAAAACTGCAAATATCTGTAAAACTATGAATGGAAGAGCATTGAAGTTGCTTTCAATCAGTGGACAAAATTCATCAGCAGTGAGTTAAATAAGTTTGCTAATCAGAAACTGAATATAAAAGAAGATTAGTGTATGATAAAAGACTAATATCATTTTGAGGTCTTTGGCTGAACTAGTTCAGTATGTGAGCAAAGCTTTTCTTCCCCGTATATTCTGCTGAAGCAAAAATGTAAATGCCTTCTTTTTTTAAGTCTTCGTGTGGTAGGAAAGATGTGATACTACACTGAGACACGCAAGCCTTTTCACTTCTAATGAGACAAGAGCTTCTAAACTCCTGCAGACTTCTGAAAATGCATTTTTTTGATTGTCTTTGTTTCTAGCCCAGACCTGGTTATCAACCATCTGGGGAATCTGACAAAGAAAACAAGGCTCAAGAGCGTCCTCCGAGTGCATCTTCAAGTAGTGACATGTCGCTTTCAGAACCACAGCAGCCGCTACTGAGGTGAGCCATTGTGGTCCTTTTGAGAGAGAGGTGAAAATAGACTAGACTCTTAATGTTCATGTTGTAGTGAGAGTAATTGTCTTTATGGCAATTGTAAAAGAGGAATCTGATGCAGGAAAGCATATGACAGTTTTGGCTATGGGTATTTAGTGAAGAGATAAAGTGAATTTGATTAACAGTGGTTGCTGTTAATCTTTTGCTGACATCAAGGGGATGTGCATTTCATATTGGGAGACTGTATTTCCTCTGTTATTGCTATCGAGCAAGAGAAGCTGATCATATGAATACATCTGTTGATTTTTCTTACTTGCTTTGTTCAATGTTTCTGTTTAATCTATTGTCTTAGATTCAGGCCTTTAGTTACTGTCTCTGAAGTATCAAAACTTTCTGCTTCTCTTTGGAGCTACCCTTTCCTAATTTCCTTTCATGCTGCTTTCCCCATTTTTAATTTTTCAGTGTATTATCAGTTTGTCTTACTGGATGGTAGCTGCTGTACTTCTAATGCCTGTGAGGTGGTGAGGCTGGTAAGAGTATAAAGAATGTGAGTTCAGTCTAAGCAAAGGCTGCTGTATTCAGACCATGACATTGAATGGAGCAAAAGCATGTTTACAGTGAGATCTGCACTCCTTCCTCATCCTCATTTTGCAGCTGTTTCAGTGATGGCATGTCATTCCTAAGTTTGATTTTTACCTGAAATATTTGACATGTCTTATTCTTTAGCAGGCTGTATTGGAAGGACAGGTTCAGATTCTAGACTGGATGTTACCCGTAAAACCTCTTCAAGAAGTTCTGAAAGGTCAAGGAGTAAAGTGCGGTCTGAGAATAACCTGAAGAAACTGGAAGCTGCTCTTCCAGATGGTAACCAAGAAGATCATGGCTCTGTAAATAAGGACTTCCTGCCCGTGGAGATACGTGGCATTCTCGATGACTTGCAGTTGGATTCCATGAGTACAAAGCAAGAGAAAGATGTGGAAAAGCAGAATCAGAAATCTGTTTTGCCTGCTCAAAATGCCAGGAGCCACAGTCCAACCAAAAGGAAACCGGACAAGATTGCTGCCAGTGAAGAGCCTCAGGTGATCTCTAAGAAACGTCACTATGATACGGACGAGGTTCGTCAGTACATCATCAGGCAGCAAGAAGAGAGGAAGAAGAAGCAAAATGAAGAGAAGAAAGCACAAAAGGAGGCAACAGAACAGAAGAACAAAAGGCTCCAAGAGCTCTACAGAAAGCAGAAGGAGGCTTTTACTAAAGTGAAAAACGTGCCTCCTACTGAACCTTCAGCAGCCAAACGGTTACAGGAAACCTATTCTAAACTATTGCTGGAACATACACTTCTAGAAGAGCCACCTCAGCTGCCTACAGTGCAGGAAGCACAGGTATAGCTGATTCACTAACTTAATGTGTTGCCGTTGTCTGCAGGAATAGGAGGTCATCTGTTTAGGAAGGTCATGACTTGTCCTGGTCTGGCCAGTGCTTAAGAGAAAGGATATAAAGAAAACTGTGTCATTTTTGCTTAAACATAAGCTCGGATCCAGAGCCTCTTTGCTAGTGGCCACTTCTTGGCACAGCAAGGCCTACTAGAAAGGTGAATGGAAATATTTCTATTATAAATAGAAGCAGAATTAGATATTAGTTAACAGTAGCTATAAATGTTGGGTTTTAAGAAAACTGCAAATATCTGTAAAACTATGAATGGAAGAGCATTGAAGTTGCTTTCAATCAGTGGACAAAATTCATCAGCAGTGAGTTAAATAAGTTTGCTAATCAGAAACTGAATATAAAAGAAGATTAGTGTATGATAAAAGACTAATATCATTTTGAGGTCTTTGGCTGAACTAGTTCAGTATGTGAGCAAAGCTTTTCTTCCCCGTATATTCTGCTGAAGCAAAAATGTAAATGCCTTCTTTTTTTAAGTCTTCGTGTGGTAGGAAAGATGTGATACTACACTGAGACACGCAAGCCTTTTCACTTCTAATGAGACAAGAGCTTCTAAACTCCTGCAGACTTCTGAAAATGCATTTTTCTGATTGTCTTTGTTTCTAGCCCAGACCTGGTTATCAACCATCTGGGGAATCTGACAAAGAAAACAAGGCTCAAGAGCGTCCTCCGAGTGCATCTTCAAGTAGTGACATGTCGCTTTCAGAACCGCAGCAGCCGCTACTGAGGTGAGCCATTGTGGTCCTTTTGAGAGAGAGGTGAAAATAGACTAGACTCTTAATGTTCATGTTGTAGTGAGAGTAATTGTCTTTATGGCAATTGTAAAAGAGGAATCTGATGCAGGAAAGCATATGACAGTTTTGGCTATGGGTATTTAGTGAAGAGATAAAGTGAATTTGATTAACAGTGGTTGCTGTTAATCTTTTGCTGACATCAAGGGGATGTGCATTTCATATTGGGAGACTGTATTTCCTCTGTTATTGCTATCGAGCAAGAGAAGCTGATCATATGAATACATCTGTTGATTTTTCTTACTTGCTTTGTTCAATGTTTCTGTTTAATCTATTGTCTTAGATTCAGGCCTTTAGTTACTGTCTCTGAAGTATCAAAACTTTCTGCTTCTCTTTGGAGCTACCCTTTCCCTATTTCCTTTCATGCTGCTTTCGCCATTTTTAATTTTTCAGTGTATTATCAGTTTGTCTTACTGTAAGTCAAGGTGCCTAACCAAACACTTAAATATAAGGAACTAAAAATCATAAAGTTTCTTGCATATCCTTAAGATCCCTGTTGTGCAAGTGTGTCTTCATTTCTAATTACATAATGAATGTCTGCTTCTTAAATATATAGTTACTTTGTTACCTGTACCTTCACTTGGTAAAATCCCTGCAGACTTAGTAAATTCAATGAGGTCTGTTTCCTTTCTGGAAGAGTTCAAGGAAGCACTAGGAATGCTATGTGTACAAAATAGGCTGCTAAACCATATGGTAGTAAATATTGTTAGTTTAAGATTACAAGGAAAAATTGTAAGTGCTAATAGTAGGGGAGAGATGGTACTTAAAGGGCTGCATAAGTTATTTGGAGAGCCTCATTGTAAGCAGAGAAGCAGTTTTTTGTGAGGGACTTCCCAGATTTCCTAGTATTCAGAATATGCGCAAGTGATATTAGCGAAGGAAGACTTAACTGCTGCTGAAAACACTCAGCTTGTTAGGAAGGTCTCTACAGAGCTCCTGTTCTTGCAAACGATTCAGAATATGCGCAAGTGATATTAGCGAAGGAGGGTCTTCAGAATATGTGCAAGTGATATTAGCGAAGGAAGGTCTCTACAGAGCTCCTGTTCTTGCAAATGGGAATTATCTGGAAATAAAAAAGATGTCCTACAGAACTTCAAACATCCTTGTATTTCCAGTCCTCCTTTTCTGTAAGTGTTCTTTATGCCTAGCTTAAGTGACAGCTCCATTGAAACATAGGCTGGCTTCACCTGGAGAGGAAGGCTGGGGCTAAGAAATTCCAAGGAAAAAAAAAAGGGTTAAAAAAGGAAAAAAAAAAAGATGTTTCATCCCTTCTGAAGTCAGGAAACTTTTGGAAAAGACTTAACTGCTGCTGAAAACACTCAGCTTGTTACAACTCTAAAGCACAGTACACCATAAAAGGCATGTCAAATTTGGAAGGTGCTATGTTGCTTTATATTTCTTTTTACTGCTGCTGAAAACACTCAGCTTGTTACAACTCTAAAGCACAGTACACCATAAAAGGCATGTCAAATTTGGAAGGTGCTATGTTGCTTTATATTTCTTTTTTTTAAAATAACATTCTCTAACTGTTTACTGTCCCATTCCCTGCCTTTCTGACGCCACCAAAAAGTATTTCTTCCTGAAAAATAAAAAATAATATTGTGTAACTGTTTACTGTCCCATTCCCTGCCTCTCTGAGTCCACCAAAAAGTATTTCTTCCTGAAAAATAAATTTATGGCAATGATACTTTCATGTAAAGTAACAGTACTTGTATTAAGCCATCAACTTAAATGTTGACTTTTCGTTTCAGGAGTGATTTGCTGGAGCCTCCATGGGTACAGCCAGACAGGTTGAGCCCAAGAATCCAGCTCTCTCACCCACAAGCTCTCATGGGCTCAAGTGGAGGTCCATGCTCCCAACACTGGAGCCTGGAGCAGATGGACCTTTTGTCAAAGGAGTGTGATGCAATGCTGGCAGGCAGGAGGAACCATCCTGCCCCTGTGGGATCACTGACCTTGATGCCTCAGCCATTCCTGAATTCACCCACCGCACAGCAAAATCTCTTAGTAAAACCTACTGCTAACCAATATAAGAGCAAATTAGATCGAATTGAAGCTTTGAAAGCTACAGCTGCTTCCCTTTCTAGCAGGATTGAAAGTGAAGCAAAAAAATTGGCTGGGGCCGGTATCAATTATGGTACCATGTGGAACTCAGAATTTATGCAAGAAAACCAGGATGATGGGCGATGGGCAAAGGCTGTGAGTCCTCCTGTGAGAGAGGAAAATGAAGATGCTTTTTCAGCCAGAATCCAAAAAATGCTGGGTACCTGTGTGTCTCATACAGCCTTTGATGACAACCTTCCTGGGGTAGGCAACCTTAGTGAATTTAAAAAGCTCCCCGAGACCATCAGGCCTCATACTGCTGCAGTCAGCCTTGGAATGAGGTCCCCTGCTGCTAACAGGCATGAGGGGATACTGGGACATTTATCTAAGAGACAGACTGACTCCCCAGGGCGTGAAAACCAGGCTCATGCTCCAAACAAAGCTGTAATTCCTCACGAGTCCAGCATTGACTCCATCAGCGAAGGGCCTCTCCCGAGTGATGGAAGCCTCTCTGAAGAGGAAGGAGGCCACCACAAACAATTGCAACTGAAGATGCTGGAGACATTAAAAGAGAAGGATTTCTGCATTCGGGAGAGAAATGCTTTTGAGCCCATAAGGGAGTTTCAGAAAGAAGCTGAGAAGTATTTGCCACTTTTCACTCAGACAAGCGGGGCACACAGCAAGGGGCCATGGGAGGAACTAGCGAAGGGAAGTCCCCACAGTGTCATCAACATCTTTGCGAAAAGTTATCAGCTTCATGGAAAAGGTAAAAACGGAAAAAATTCTCAAAGCTCTTGTGAATCACTCTTTTCCCAGTCTTACTACTCCTTACACTTTATACTTCACAGGTAATGAGTTTTCTTTTAGGTTTCTCAAGCATGAATATTTGTGAGGCTTTCTCATTTTGCTTTTGGATGATAAATGATTTGCTCTGCCTTTTTTTGCCTTCTTGTCTAAGAGAAAAAAGAAGGAAAAAATCCCCCACGCTTCTGAGCTGGAGAAGATTATTTTTGTATTGGGTTGCTTTGTATTTCTAGATCAGTAACCAGTTCATATGCTGGGTTACATGTATTAAGGACACCCATAGTTACAGAATTGTAAATATAAAGTTTACATTAATTGAATCCGAAATTGCATACTAAATCTAAGTGGCCCAGAGTGTATTTGGAAATGGTTCTCTTCACCATGGAGAACAGACCCTCTGGATTGGAACATGTGTCTTCCTACTATATATGCACTCCAGATCATCTGTAATAACACATCATTCCTCTTTCAGTTAAGGCAGAAAGATGAAATCCATGCTTTATGCAGCTCTTACTTCGTGACATAACCTTGAGTGCTTGCATATATCCTGAGTTCTTGCTATACAAGAATAATACAGCTTTACTATGTTATTAGAAACATGTAACTTGAGTGGATGAACGATGTGGACTTCCCTTTTGCATCTTTGCTCATATGAGTTATTTGAAAATGTCTCAAAGCAGTGCGACAATTAAAACTCCAGTAATAGTATTTGAGTTTGAGAAAGTAAGGTTTTGGTGTATGGCTAGGGAAAGTCTCTTGCTCAAACAAGCCCATTTCAAGTGTTAGTGCCTTAGGACATGCTTTACTAAGTGTCTCCTGCAGGATGCTTCGTTTCATTTTTATTTTTTGTAGCAAATGTATTCTACATTTTATGAGTATTGTTTCCCCTGCCTTGATTTCCTCATTTTGAGGGGGAATGTTTTCTTAGAAGCTGTTTTTTATCTTGTGGGTTTTCTTGATTCTTAATTTCTCTTAAAGACAATTCCTTTTAAATACTCTGCAGATAGCTCTGCTCGCAAGCACTGTGCTCTTCAAGAATGTTTTAACTGGAGTGTGTTAATGAAGTAGAGTATTCAATAATTAACAAAAAGACTGTGCTTGTTGTATTGTGTTGTGTTAAAACCGCTGTGGGATGGCTGCACTGTTGTTTTCCTGATGCTTTTGTGTTTGAAAGGAAGTTTTTGTAACTTGTGGTTGGGAGCATTTTAATTCCTGCAGCTTTATTACCTGCTTGATGTACATTTGGATTTGGTTAGCACTTATGTCTCTTCTCTTCTTTGTCCACACTTTAGTGTTTGATGAAAGGTCGAGTGGAGGGTCTACTCCACATTTGGATTTGGTTATCACTTATGTCTCCTGTCTTCTTTGTCCACACTTTAGTGTTTGATGAAAGGTCGAGTGGAGGGTCTACTCTTCTGCACCCTTTGCTCCCTGCCATGAGCCCTCCAGAAAGCCTGGTTTCTTACGAAGATGATTTTGCCTCGTCACAGGGAAGTGACACTTTAACAGACAAAAAAATTGCACGTGACCTCAGGTAACCGTGTGTTAGACATCTTGTAAAAACCAAAGTGCAGAATTCAACAGAAAATGGTTAATGCAACATATGTTTCATAATATGCTGGATATCTTTTCTTTTTTGCTGTATTGTAATACTAGTCAAAGTGATGAGGTGTTTCCGTAGGACCTTGCAGTTAATATAGCAACCAGTATGGTTAAGACGTGAAGATTAGAGTCATGTATCCCTGTTCTCTGTCTAATTTTTGGTCTTCTTTAGTCTGGCAGGTAGCTTTAGGCAAGGTTCTTAGCCTTTGTAGTCAGGTGAAAATTAGTTCTCCAACTTGTGTGGCTGTTATAATGCACAATTGGTTAGTCTTTGTAATTTAGAAAAAAAAGAAAATATATTTGAAAGTGTTAAAATACCTTCAATACTACAAAATTTTGTAAAAAGCCTATAATTGCTTTCAGTGAAGATTCAGTATGTTTAGTAATGAATACATAAATTGTCTGTAGGAAATTTTAAAACCTTTTGTTCAGACTGAAATTTGAAGACTGTAAATCCCAGACTCTCCATGTTACTACTGAATTCATGTAGTTTCCTGAATTTCCTAAGACCCTTTTTTATAATGAGATATATTTACATCTTTTGGGCACCTTGGGGAAGGCCACAAGTACCGTGTTTATATTACTTCACCTCAGAAGAAAGGAGAGTAAAAGCACTTTGCACACTGAAAATGTTGGCTGCAAAAAGTGCTTTATTGGTGATTAAACTTCTTGATAGGTCTTTTGTTGGTATTGTTTACAAATCTTTTGTAATCCTTTCTTGAAAACCACTCATATTTTTGTTAATTTATTATTGATAATATCTGTATGTGTGCCCAGAGGTTATCTAAAATGCAGCCATATTTGGAGTCATTCTTATGTTGTTTAAACCTACAGTCAAATATCTCTTAAGAGTTAGCATTGGAAAGTTGGTTGTTACCAATCTTTTACTGTTTCCTATTATCAGAAGTATGTTTCAATACGTTCAATATCATGTCAAACTTCCTACTGTTCTAGCTGTCATAGTTTTTAATCTGAACATCAATGCTTTTCAAGATGGGCTAATTAGTGCAGGTTTAGCCATCTGTCTCTAATTTGAAGCATGGTGGATTTCTTGTGCACGGTGTAATGCAGGAGTTGGAAGTCCTTAATTAATCACTGTCAACATGCTCTGTTGTAGTGTTGCTGGCAGCAGTAATTCAAGCATTCAGGAAGAACTTCCAAGCAGGAAGTCTCCCCGTGAACCTCGATCTGTAGAGCTTGCTTCTCAGCATTCATCTGGACCACGGTCTGCAGCATCCTCTCGCTCATCTGCTTCCTCTAAAAAGAGAGGGAAAAAGGAACGTAAGTACCGTTCTCAACTGTAGGGTATTTGTTTGGAGGGAGTTCTTAGGGTTTTCTTGTTGAGAAAATTGCAGTATTTCTACATATCTTGAAACTGCAATCTAATACTGCTAGGAGGATTTATATGTTCCTCCTGTGATTCCTTCCTAAATTCTTTTTGACGCTGATTATTTTCTGACCTTAAAATGCAGTCATCTGCAATTAAATAGGCAAAAGGTTATTGACAGTATTAAAAATCTTTCCTTTCCTAAACCAGCCTTCGAACAAATTAGCTGATTTTAATAGTGCGTGGGAGCTATCCTCAGATTCTGTACAGAGGAAACTCTAATAGGCTGCCAAGAAATCTGAGTAATGCCACCTTTATGAAGGCAACAATAAGTTTGCTTGTATATGCTTTATCTTTGGATCACAGGCAGTTTTCATAATGTACAAATTAATGAATGCACTTCTTCCTACCGTAACTTGTACATTACAAAAGCATGAGGAAACTTGGTATTTGGTATACTCTCACTATCTAAGCAATGGATGACATAAGGAAAAACTATTTTTAAAGTCAATAAAAAATAAATTGAGCATGTTGAATTATCTTTCATTTTTTTCAAAATTCTCTAGCTTACCCAAAGAAAGCTAGGCTTTGTTCTAATTGTCAGTATTGAAGAGTCAAATCCTTGTTTTCTTTACTTAAACTGATAGTATCCTGAAATGAAAGCTGAGTTGACAGTTTTGTTGACAGTGGACACAATATACAGAAGAGAACTTAAACCTCCTGTAGAAAGCTGCCAAATTTATGTTTCTTGCATGTTGAATTCATAGACTTCTAACTCAAAGGCATCTTTAAGTATGGAAGAAAGTTCTCAATTATTTGTTTTGGGGCTCCTGGTGGCTAAGATACTTGTACTTAGAATACCAAATGTAAACTTTTCGCAATGATGTTGCTTCCTAGGGTTGGACTCTTTCAGTGGAAGTTCTCACCACTTTCCTGTGGAAGAAGATAAAATGCTATCTGAATTAGAATGGGGATCCCAACAGACAAAGAAGTCCTTATCAAGTAGCAGAATTTCTAGTAAAGATCACGAGCAGAACCCGGATACAGACAGCACATTAGAAAACTTGTCTGGACACTCCCTAATGAGGTAACATGAACCTTTTAAGACTGTATGCAAGTATAACTAATCTGGGAAGTGTTATGGCATGCTATCAAAAATGGCTGTGTCTTTGGATATGCAAAAGAAATGATCGAATGTTACTAAGATGGGCATGCAGAAAACATTTCTTCCCCTGTATTTTAAATATGAAGGCCCAAAGTAGATGGCTGCAGTAAGAGAAAAAACAAAACAGTGATTCCTCCCCAAATGACCTCTCTGTTTTTGTAAGGGTGACTGGGCAATATAGGTATCCTGTCAGTTTCAGTACCTTAAGCATTGAATTTCCACTTCTACAAACAGTCTGCAAGAAGTTTTTGTGTGTGGGAATTAGCTAGTCAACCTGTGCAGTCATCTTGCTCTTTTTGGAAGGATCCACAGACATTTTTGGCTAGACTTGTGTTCAGCTAATACTTCTAAGCCTGTCCAGCCCTCTGAGTTGATGCTTTTTGAGAGATGAACTGATCCTCAGAAAAGAGTGTAGAAAAGAGGAAAAAATACTAATTTTCTGTTGCATCCTCTGTATGTCTGACAGTGAAGGTGGTTATGAAATACTCAGCTTAGTTTTCACTGTACTTTTTTCTAAAAAGCAACAGATAGTACAACTGGTCTGTCACTCCTCCTGTGTCAGCATAGGGCAGTTCTGAGGTAGTGACTTACATTGGTGATTTTCACTGATATCGTCTATTGATTTGATACAGGGTTTGGGGTTTGAAAGGTCCTGTGACCTCCTAAGATGTGCCAAGTAAGGCAGAATGTCTTCCTAAGGGATTTAAGCAGACACTGTTAATCTTCTCTGGCTTAATAAAATTGGAATAGTAAATTTAAAAACTGTCTGCATCGTTTTCTGTAAATTTGCAAAGGAGTGTCTTCAGCTGTCACTTAAGAAGAAATGTTTCTGTAGTGTTTTACTGTCGAGTCAAGTTTTGGTCTTCAAGCATTTCATTGCATTTTGATGGAAAAGATTGAGACTCGGGGCAGTGGCTCATCACACTCAGTTGCATCCATATGCTGATTGTAACCTTTTTGCTTTTTAAAAATACTGTTCATTGTGTTCTGATATCAAAATATTGCCCAAATTTTCTGTGAGTAAAACAAAGTTCTTCACTCAGACTCTTAAAACAAACATTTTTTTGATACATGCAGATGATTGCCTCCTGCAATGCCAGCTTCCTAACAGGAGGCATTGAAGCTCCTTGTCTGGCCATGTAGAACATGTAGATACTATGTTGGTCTTCAATTCTGTGTGTGTGTGTGCTAACTGGGTTTAATACTTGGGGCAAAATAGGGTGCTCTAGAAACTTAACCCTGAACTGAGATCTAGGTACAAAAAACATGAGGCCATTCCTAAAGGCAGACTGAACCTGTGCAAACCATAAAAGACTGTGTCTTTTGTGTGGTTCTGTTTGGTGTATGTAAATGGAAGAACTAAGTTATTGCTTTATTGTCCTCTGAAGTGGCTGAATTTAGGAGAATATTGACTCCTTTCCTTTTTCGTTTCACTGTCAGCTTCTCAGACAAGGGAAGATCCCAGAAGACGCCAGCTTCTTCCCCATCCGGTTCCCAAAAAATGTTGCAGTTTGATTCTACAGGCAATACAGCAGAAAGAGTCAAGTCACCTGCTGGCTCTTCTGGAAGTACAGCACCAGGGCTGAAGCCTAACATAGCCTTCCCTGACCTGAGTCTGGGAACAGGCAGGTCCGTAGCAGGAGCAGCCTCAGCAAGCGGTGAGTTGTTTTCTTAAAACCATACTAATCCCAAAGCAGTTACTTTATTATTATTATTTTTTTTTTTTATATTTTGATGTGGGACATTAAATTCTATGGAGGTTGACTAGTAAGTCTTACCCTGCAGGATGTATGCGCTTCTCCCCTGCTGGTCTTCAGCATCGTTTATCAGCAGAATTGAACTACCTTAATGCTATCGAGGAGTCTGTGCGCCAGCTTTCAGACGTAGAGCGGGTACGAGGCATATCACTTGCCCAGCAGGAGAGCGTTTCTTTGGCTCAGATTCTAAAGGTAATGGAAAAATACTTCCTTGTCTTAACCTTCTTTTTTTTTTTTTAGTTTGTAGGAAAATTAATCAAATTAGGGTGAGTTACGCTTTTGTTAGTATACTGTCGTCTTTCTGATTTTAAGTTGACAACAAGGAACTGGTGACTCTAGAATATGCGTGATTAATATATCATTAGCTGCAGTTGCTGATTCGGTTGTGTATTTCAGTAAAATAGAAACTTGATTATTTACTGGGTTGGATGTTGGGTCCCAGTGCCATGCAGTGTAGTTGTTCAGGCTGAATCATTTGTCTTATTCCATGAAAAGGGTATTTTTAATTGAAATTTCCTTATGATGACAAGATTTCTTGTTCGAAAATTTCCTTATGATGACAAGATTTCTTGTTCTAGCCTGTTGAATTGATTGGTCTCCTAGATCCTCTTTCTTTTTACACTGTGGTGGAAGAGTGTGGGGAGTCTGCATTGTCTACTATGTACATAAAAAAGGAGAGGGTCAGTCGGTAGGCTGAAAATTTTATTTCAGCAGAAGAGGCACCACTCTAGACTAGTAGAGTCTAGATCTACTCTACTGTAGATCTAGATCTTTCAGAGGTAGTTGCAGCCAGAAGCTGAGGCAAAAAAGGTCTTTACGTTTCACTTGCATGATTAGAACTTGTTTTTCTGATCTGTAGGCACAGCAACAGCGCCACGAACGGGATTTGACTCTTTTGAAAATCAAGGCCGAACAAGAAGCTTTAGAAAGTCAGAGACAACTGGAGGAGGCAAGGCAGAAGGCAGCTCAGGTAATGCTGCCCTTCAAAAAATGTGGAGTGTGTAAGAGGCAAAATGCTGTAAGTAAATCGTGCCTATGAGTATTCTTAATTTGAAGCTGTGAACATGTGGAAGTGGTGAAGGGGTTTAATCTAGCTGAAAAAAGCTCTTAGGTGCCAATTTCAAAATTTTTCCCCTAGATTTTTAGAAATAAAACTGCAGTTGTTATAGCCAGAAAATTTTGAAGAGTTGAACGGGCTGTGTTTTCTGCACAGGTCCACGCAGAGTCACTGCAGCATCTGGTCCAGTCGCGGCAGGAGGCTGCACAGGAGACCCCATGCAAGGCTGCAGCCAAACAGGCAGAAACTGCACTTCTCACTACAGATGCAGCTCACCAAATCCGGGAGGTGAGGTCCTCAGTGAAAGGAAAAAGCTGATCTAATTTCAGTATTATTTTGAATACTTTTTTGCCTCCAGGTTTTTCTCTGTTCGGTGTCATTCTCAGTGTAACTTCTGACTTCCATAATGTGACAAATGATAGGACTTTAAAGGAGCTTTTCTGACATCCCAACTTAGAAGTCAGTCAGCAGCCTTAAATACCTCTTTGCCTTTCTTATGATCTTCCAGTTAATGAACTGTTAAGAAGTATGTTCTTCCAGGAGAGACTGATGATAGTGAATACAACATCTTTAATTTGTAAGAGTTGCACTCCATCAGGGATCGGTCCTGTATATGTTTCATGTGCAAATTAAATTAGAGAAGCAGGGAAACTGCAATATTGCTTACTTTTGAAGGTAGGAGGCCAAGAAATAAAAAAAAAAAAGAGTGGGGAAGATCTTCAGCAGAGCTTTTAACTTGGTTCAGAGTTTGAAGTTTTATTTTTTTGAGTCTCTTTTCATCCTTCTTGTGGCATACAGAATATTTATCAGTTTTATTGATCAGTTTATTAGTTTTTCTACTTCTCGTTTCTAACATGTAGCAGCTGTTTCATGTATAGGTAAGAAACATGGTAACCAAAAAGTGCTTTTGCTTATTTGTAGTTTAGCAATCACAATAACTGTGGATTAGGGTTATGGGATGGAGTGCAGAAGGCTGATGGTTATGAACATTACTGTTTCTTCACAGCTTATGCACATGCTGGTGCTTAGCAAGGCTGTTTTTATGATATGGGACTGATGTACTTGTTCTGGCCTTTGCCAAATATGTGAAGTTTAAATCAATTTTTAATAGAGAAGAATGGGTTACATGAAAGGAGCAGAAAAGGTCGGGCATCTGAGATACATGCAGTGGCTGTTGATACCAGGTAGTCAAGTCTTGGATTAAGACAAAGAAACATTTATTTTTTTTATAGCGCTGAAGTGGGTAGAAACCAATTAAGAAACAGGGTAGAAGAAAAAGAGACAGCTTTTATTTGATGTAAGGTTTTCATCTCTTGTCTTGCTTTAAGTTTGAAATCCAAGAGTAAGAGATGCCAGTGGAGAGGTTGATGGGGGTGACCTGGTCAGTGATGATGGATGGACTAGCACAGCTGTTCCATCCTGATATTCAGTTGAATAACCATTTATTTTAACAGCAATGGAAATGCTGATCACCAGTGTGCTGGGATATTTTTGGATGTACCCTGTAATTTCTTATGTATAAAGGAATGGAGTTAATTTTCTGCATTGCTTTCAATTAGAAGTTTATCTTATGAAAAAGAGATAATATAGCATGCTACAATATAAGTTTGTTTGCTTAGAGTTTACTGTCGTGCTAATGAAGGATAAGATAGTGGATGATGTATACAGACAATCCTTTTTTTAAAAAAAAATCACTTGTTTTTATAAAATTTTATGTATTACAATTAATTTATACATGAATTGAAGAATTAATGGAGAAACTCAGTATGTGCATTGAAAGTTACTGAAATGCAGCTTATTCCTATCTTTGAAACCCATCAGAGTTCCCTGCTCTGCAAGAAGCAGAGCTTTGAACAAAAAGAAAAATATTAAATTCTAAAGCTTCTAAAAATCAGTGTCCTCTGCTGTGATTCCTGAAGAACTTCTTATTTCGAGTCAGGTACACAGCGACTGCCATACCTGAAAAAGGAGAAATTTATGGCTATTTGTTGGTTTAATGCTGCCAAGTTTAGACCTGGCAGTTTGCATGATATTGGAACTTAAACCTGTTGCCTCCTTTAGAATGGAAATAATATTTCTTGCTCTTTGAACAAGATGCTCTTTCAAATGGAAAAGAAAACATTGTGTCTGGTGGTTTTTTGGTTTGTTTTTTTTTTAATTAATTGTGATGGTAAGCCTGGAATGTCTTATTATGTGGGGATTGTTCTATTGATCAGAGTTTGATTAAGTTGATTAGAATGATACAATAAGTAGTATCTTGCATGTCTGTAGTTTCGTTATCAATAATTCCACTCTGAATAAATTAAGGAGTATGCATTTACAGAGCAGTGTGCACCTCCTACAACCTAAATTGACACGTATGTGTCAATTACAAACCATCTCAAAACAGCATCTCACACATTTGTTCAGTAAATCAGTAAATTGCCTGCGAGGATAACTATTTTCTCTTTCAAAAAACATTTTGAAGCTATTTACAGAGCAGTATGCACCTCCTACAACCTAAATTGACATGTATGTAATTACAAACCATCTCAAAACAGCATCTTACACATTTGTTCAGTAAATCAGCAAATTGCCTGCGAGGATGGCTATTTTCTCTTTCAAAAAACATTTTGAAGCTGATAAGCACATTGTATTCCTTTGTTTTTTGTTGTACCCAGATGACAGAGTTAGCACGAGCACAGATCTCGGATACTGTCAGCGCTCCAGCTGCTCCAGTCACCACCTTGTTTGACCACCAGCGGCAGCATCATTCAGAGTTCATGAAACAACTGAGAGCCCGAACTGATACAAACAGGTTTTGCCTAATATTTCACATCTTAGGAAGGGGGAGGTTTTGCTTCACCTATTCTTGAAGAAAATTTTAAGATGTCATAATGAGTGAGCATTTAAGAAGAAGAATTTAGATTCCCTCTTTATGCCCTTAATAATGTACACCAAAGGTGACACTAACTGGTTCTGTGAAACTCTGCATGTAGAAAAAGATGCTCTAAATGTTTTGTGGGATGATATAACTAGTCTGAGCTTTAAGTGATCTTTTCAGAAGTTTTAGCTCTTACTTCTGGTAAACTGATGAAAGCTTGTGCAAACTCTATTACTCTTTGGTTTAAGACCATGTAGATTTACTCCAAACACTTCTGTTTCTCAGGAAATGTGAGCCATCTGGTACCATATCACATGGTAAAGAGGAGAGAGGTGACTCAAAACAGACATACTCACCGATGTTCGATAGTTATTCAGAGTCCTCGAGATCAAAAGTTCATGATCAGAGGTAAGAAGAGATTAGATGACACAGAGGGGGTTTTTTTTTGTTATAAATAAGAACTAAAGTACAACAGAATATAAAGATAATTCCTTCAATATATTTTTTTTAAAAAGAGGGAAAGTCAGTATTAAGCCTTCAACAGGTAAACCTGTCTTATTTTCATGAGCTTGAAGGTTTACATGCCTACCAGGATTTGCTTTGTCTTTAGTTAAAAATCCTACTACATTGTGGTCCACAGTGTAATAGCATGTTGTGTGTTAGTATCTTCAGTTTTGAATTTGCTGTATTTGTTCTAATTGAACCCTTTTCTCTTTCCTAACTTAAGAATAATTGAGTTCCACATCTGCTTTCTCATTAGCAAGAGTCTAGCAAGCAGGTAAAGGGAAATGGTTATTCCCCTCTGTTCAGCTCATATGAGACTGTATCTGGAATACAGTGTCCAGTTTTGGACTCCTTGGTAGAGGGAAGACATGAACATACTGATGCAAGTCTAGTGGTGTAAAAGAGAGACTGAAGGAACTGAGCTAACTTAACCTAGAAAAGAGAAGGCTGAGAGACCAGGGATTTAGTTGCCGTATCCTAAAGGTGGGTTGTTATGGAACTTGAGGCTAGACTCTTCTTGGAGGTGCACAGTGAGATGACAAAAGGCAATGGTGATGTTCCAGAAAGGGGAAAATCATTGGAGGGAGAAAAAGCTCCCTGTGAGAGTGGTTAAACAGTGGAATAGAGGGGGAGGGAGGTTGTGGGATCCTCTGTTCTTGCAGGTGTTCAGAACTTGGATGTGGCCTTCACTTTGATTGGATAAAATACCTTCAGAAGTTGTTGAGCTGAGATTATTCTGATTTCTGTGCTGTGGCCTACTTGCGTATTTCTATTGCATCACCTTTGTAACCTAAAAGTCACTTTAAGTCTCTGTTTATCTGAGGTTTTTTCCTTGTCCTAAATATTTCCATTTTGTCCCTTTCTCATTTTGCTCTGTGTCATTTTGAAATTGACTAGATGATAGACTGGAGGAACTTGGATGTGACCTTCATTTTGATTGGATGAAATATCTTCAGAAGTTATTGAGCAGTGATTATTCTGATTTCTGTGCTGTGGCCTACTTGCGTATTTCTATTGCATCACCTTTGTAACCTAAAAGTCACTTTAAGTCTCTGTTTATCTGAGGTTTTTTCCTTGTCCTAAATATTTCCATTTTGTCCCTTTCTCATTTTGCTCTGTGTCATTTTGAAATTGACTAGATGATAGACTGGAGCATACATTTTGAAAACACAGTGCAGGGACCTGTAGAACTGCCTATTTGTAATGTGCTAAAATTCCTATTCTGTTCTCGGTGTATTTGGCCATTTTGTTTGAGTTTTTGTTTTCGCTGCTGCTTTGCACTGGCTTGAGATTTTACATGAGGTGCCTGGAACTCTGCTTGCCTGAAATTTTCACTCCTTTCCAGTCTTACTTTTCAGTACCTTGCCTGTGTTTAATACTGGATTTTAGCTTCTTGTTTCCTCTTCACTTACCTCATCAAGTTAGGTCCCATGAAGTTTCTCACAGCCCTTCTCTGATCTTGGCCAACAGAAATGCTTTTGTCCTCTGTAGTTCTTCTGATTTAAAACAGTATTGCTATCTTGCTCATATCCTTTTAAACACTGTTAAGGAGAGATGTTTGCAATGGTTTATCACCAGTACTCATTGCCAGGTAGAGGGTGTGCATACCTACAAACAACTTGTGTTCTAAGGTAGAATAAAAATAGCAAGTTCTGCTGTCATTCAGCAGCTTGATGAAGCTTGGAATTTTAAGGTAGCCAAGCTGCGTTTTAAAAACAAAACAAAGCCTCTGCATGTTGATTATTGCTAGGATGTTAATCATGGTATGTACAGTAGTAATGTACTGTAAATATTTTGAAATGTGCAAAATAATTTTTTTAAAAAATTATCTCTTGATAACACAGTAGTACCAGCAGCCGCCAAGAGAGTCCTTCAGTTCCATCTTCTAAGGAGAATGAGAAAAAGCTTTCCCGTCGTGAGAAGATAAGTAGCAGTATTGAAGAGCAGGCTCATACTGGTGTTGATGACTCCTTGCCAAGTGATAGTGTTTTATCACTGCCAGATGAAAAAGGTTAGCTGTATTGTTTGTCTGTGATGAATCTGAAGGTGGTGAGGAGGGAGGGAGGTGCCGTTTCAGAATTAGTTTCGGAAATAAATGAGGGAATGTGTGTGAAGAAAGCCGAGCCCCAGGTGAATTGGTAGCTTCTGAAGAGGTAATAGACAATGGCACAGGGAGATGGAAACTTTTGAAATTCTGCACATCAGAGTGATGGAGTCTGTGGGCCATTCTACTCTCTGCTGTGCTAGCTGTAGCCAAATGTTCACTTGCTGAATATGCAGGCTGAATGCCAAATACTTTTGCAGCCCCAGAAATGTGGTTATATATGTGTACAGAAGTTAAGGCTTCTGAAGCTAGACAACAGTATTTCATGGTGTCTTCTACCTCAAGGTCACTCTTTTCTAAATGCCCATTTTTCTGCATTATAGTAGTTATCTCCATTTCTTTCCTTCCTTCCCCGATTTTATTGAGATGAGAGAGAGTAAAACAGAGCTGATACATACCTGAGTGTAAAAACACTTCCCTGATTTCTTCCTCAGATTCTGCTTCTGTTGCAACAGAGTATTCCCTGAAATTTGATGAGTCCATGACAGAGGATGAGATTGAGGAAAAGTCTTTTCGGTCTTTGCTGCCCTCTGAGAGTCATCGCAGAAATAATTTGGAGAAGAAACGGGGTAATCGCGATGATTCTGATGAGGAAGTCTCCCCAGAAAAAACGGCTCTGTCATCTATCAAGGTAGGTCAAGCAGCTATGGTTAAGGTAAATTAACTGAACTGAAATGGTTTAGCTCGTGAGCTTCAAGTGAGCTGTTCTTAGTTGTGTTTGCAAACTTTAGGCTTCTTTTCTTCACTGTGGTTCTTTGAGCATCTCAAAACACTGAGTTGTAGGAATCATGCTGTATGTCACTGTTGTACAAGTGTGATGACTTGACTTATGGAACAGTCTATCCAGGCTTCTACCTGTTCTATTGTGGCTTTGGAGAAGAGGATTGACTTTCGGAGGTAGGTTATAAAAGCCCAGTGAATTAAGTCTTACTACTATGCCTACACACAGCTAGGAAGGTACATGAAGATGCTTCACCTCTTTGGCCCAAGAGGGGACATTCCAAAACTGTCCTGCAGCCCAAGGCAGAAAAGGCTGGTCTGCAAAAAACTCAGAGAAAAAACAGCTTTCCCTCTTGTTTTTGTGTATGTGTGTATATATACACACACACACTTCGTAATTGGAAAAATCCTTGGAATATCTGTATTATCAAATCATGCCAAATTTGTCTTGCCTTCTAGGAGCTAAGCATGCCATTCTCAGGGGGGCAGGATAGTTTCTCTAAATTTACCATGGAGATGGTAAGACAGTACATGAAAGAGGAGGAAATGCGAGCGGCTCATCAGTCCTCACTGCTTCGGCTCCGGGAGAAGGCTCTGAAAGAGAAGACCAAGGCTGAATTGGCTTGGCTGGAACACCAAAAGAAGTAAGGCAGCTCTAAATACACACTGTTGCTGACTGCCCGTTTTCTTGTACTTCTACTTGAATTTTTTTTGTAAGATTTTCCTTCCGCCTCCCCCCTCCCATATTAAGTATCAATGGTTGAACTAACGTTCTGACACCAGTAATCTACACAAATTTTATTGTCACTTGGAAAGAATAGAACCCAGTTTGTAAGCATGCTTTGATGTTCATATTGAATCCAGTTTGATAACAGAGAATTTCATTGAAGCAGTAGAACATCAGATGTTTGTTGTCAGTCAGAGAAGGTATTTCCCAACTGTTACTCTTGTCAAGTCTTAAATCAGGAAGATATAAAACTGCCAAACAGTTTGACCTTTATTTGCTTGATGTCTATCTGAGGTCATTTTAGTTGACTCAGGCAAAATTTTGTGTCTGGGTATGTGTTGCACTTAATGATTTGTTTCTTACCTAACATATACTTGTCCTGGAATTCCACTTGAAGTACGTAGTGGTACTACTAAGCAGTGGTCACTCTCTGCATGAGAGTACCATTGTTCACCAGATGTTTTCTTCCAATTTCTTGTCATTGTGGGTTTGACGTAGGATGTTGAAGTAGTGACTCAGGTGATCCTTCCTTTTGTCTTTCTCTGGTGAGCGTGCTACTTCTGCAGAGCTTCTGCTTGTTCATGTGAGATCACATATTACCTGCACTGGCCTTTTCACTGTGCATGCCTGACTAAAACAGTAAATAAAAATATTCTGCTATAGAGCGTGCCAATGATGAAGTACAGGTATATACTCTTCTGCAGGTTAGGAAAAGTAAAATTTGTTTTTTCCACTTTATAGAGTAAGAGACTCGTTGATTTGCACTTTTTTCTTACTTAATTCTTTCTTTAATCTATTTGCAGGCATTTGAGAGACAAGGGAGAGGATGATAAGATGCCTCCCATTCGAAAGAGGCAGCGTGGTCTGCTCCTGAGATTACAGCAGGAGAAGGTAACTGATACCCTCTAGGGAAATCCTATTGAAACACCTGTGTAGCCATTAAGTGTTTCAGACACTATAAAAGCTAAGAATTGAGAATTCCATACCAGGCTTTTGGATAAGAAGCTAGCAGTATTTCTTACCAATAAGTTATATTTGCATTTCAGTAGTATTTAACACATTGTTTTAAAGGGTCCTTCTGTATCAGTAATCTCACTGCTTGAGACTTTATATCTTCTGTTCTTTTCTGCTGAAGTTCAGGCTAGTTACTTCATCATATAATTGCAGTAATTTTAAACTCGTAGCAAAGACACTGTGACAGCTTTAGGGTGTGTTCTTGAGAGCTGTCTGTCACAGTTCTTATGCTTAATTTTTTATACCTAAAAGGCAGAAATTAAGCGCCTTCAAGAGGCTAACAAGGCTGCCCGGAAGGAGAGACAGCTGATCCTTAAACAGCAGGCGGAAATAGAACGAATCCGTCAGACTACAATGAAACTGCAGGAAAAACTAAAGTCTGCAGGAGAAAACAAGCTGGTAAGTGTTCAGTACAGAAGCTGGAGTCTTCCCTCTTTGGCCGTGCAGCTGATATTTTACTTCAGTGTTTATAGGAATGGAAAGCTACTAGATTGGAGCTATCACTTCAAAATTTTGTCTGCCTCAAATGATCTCATCCTCTATCTTAGCAATTTTATGTTCAATTTCTTTAAAGGAAATGCATTTGGAGAAGTTATAAAATGTTTTAACTGGGCGGTAGATGAAGTTTGTTAATGCTCAAGCTTTCCAAAGTTATTTCCAATAACTTTGGAAATAACAGTTTTTTGATGCTTAGATCTCTTAGACTCTGATTTTGTTTGATATTTGTCAGACCCCAAAGTACTAAATGTAGGTGCTAAATCCAAAACTTGCTGCTTTGTGTGTGTATTAGATGCAAGAAACTTAATTTTGATGACATTTATGAGATAGAAAGACGGGATTTTGGTAACGGTCTGCCTCCTTACAAAATTTTGATGAGATACAAGTTTAATAACAGTAGTATAGAAAAGACTGGTTTCCTGTTTGGGCAACTGAATTCTGGTGGGGTTTTTTGTTCTAGATACAGTTAGGGGAGAACTTAAATTATGGAGAAACAGGGTGTACTAAAAAACTTTGTGTCAAGTGAAAACGAAGTTGGAAAATGAAGTTAAATCTGCAGGCGGACAGACTTACCTGAAGTAGTATTTGATGTACTCTGGGGAGAAGTAAGCTAAATTAATACAATTTTCAAAAAGATAGTGGAGTAACTTTTCCTACTTCCAATGTTGATTGTGGTTTTGTATCACCTAATTGCAGGAACTTCACAGTGAGGATGACATCAAGCAGAGCAATGGTTCTAGCCCGCTTCCAACAGATGAAGAAACACGCAGCCCTTCCCCAATCTCAATCTCCAGCAGTGAGACCAGTAGCATTATGCAGAAGCTTAAAAAAATGCGCAGCAGAATGGATGAAAAGTAACTAATTTTCTTTTTTCTTATTAAAAAAATTATTATTTCAATAGAACGAGTTGGTCTGGTCAGTATCTGCACTAACAATGGCCATCAGAAAAATTACAGAGGTAATCACATACACTTTGATCAGATTTACCTGAAAAATAGTTGATTTGAAGCATTAATAGAACAGTACTAATCTGTGTATATACTACTTTAAAGGCTACAGTTCTTGCATTAATAGTGGGAGTCAAACATTGTTAGCTGGAAGACCATGTGGTCAAGGCTTTTTTATTGTAGAAGTTTGGTTTTAATGTTCTTTGTACTTGATAGAGTCAGTAAAAGCACATCAGTTTAAAAGATTTTCATGTTTGTACATACAAGGAACTTGAAGAGGCTCAAACTTGATGGTGCATCTTGTCAGAGTTCCTCTTGCAATGAAAGACCTGAAGTCAAATGGTTAAAGTGGTGCCTGTATTTTGTGTATCTCCCTTTTATTTTAAAGGGGAAAAATTACAGAGAGTGTCTCCGGAATAACAGTACCATTTTTTATCTTTAATTGAAGCATAAATTATAAATAGCAAAAGTCTTATGCAAAACCTACTAAATGAGTTTGAGATTTGGCTCACAGAAAGTCATTGAGCTTGGTGGGCATGTGATTTCTACCTTATTATACAGCTACTGAATTTCAATTCTAATTGCATTAAAATCAGCTAGGAGTGAGTTCTGTAAATATTTTCTTAATTAATGGAGGTGGCATGTGTGTGACTGCAGACTGGCAGTTAAGAAGAACTTTCTTTTCCTCCTACGTGCTCCACAGGTTGGAAAAAAAGTTGAAGATAGTTGTTAGTCTTCAGAGGAAATAATGCAGTATATGTGCAGTTCTTGGGTCAACAGTCTGAATCTGTTGATTTCACCTATTAAATTGTTTTGAATTAAAAACTTTCTGCATCTTTTCAGTGTAGGAATTACTTTGCACGAAATATCCCAAATGCTTTACCAGCATGTGCTCAGTAGCCTAAAGCCTTCCATTCTTATTTGAGACTAATCCATTAAAAGTCTGGCCTCTGCCAGTTACTGCAAAGAATAGTCTTTGCTTAAACTTTTTTTTTTTTAACTTATAACCAAGGTAGTTTGCTATATTTTAATACATATGTACTTCTATATGATGAAGATAAAAAACAGTAGTAGTAGTAAGTAAGGATTTGGTGTAACTAGAAAACCAAAACCATTGTTCTAGTTGATTGCTATTATTCAGACTCTCCTGATAGGATCTGGTAAATTCAAAAACAAAAATAACAAATTATTTCCAGTTTCTGATACGCCATATTACCAAAACTAGACTCTTGGCATTCCAAGTGATGTGAAAACCACCCCATTGTTAAAGCAGCAAACTCTTTCTCAAAGTATATTCTGAGGTTGGTAAATGGCTTAAGATGGGGACTTAAGAAGGATATGCTCCGAAGGCCATTGATTTTTAGGGTTTCAAGAAAAAAAATATTTTTCTTCTGATCCTGTTTTTTTTTGTTAAGAAAAGGGTCTTTATCTTCCCCCCCCCCCCCCTTTTTTTTTTTTTTTTTTTTTTTTTTTTTTTTTTTTTTTTTTTTTTTTTTAAAAAAAAAAAAAAAAAAAAAAAAAAAAAAAAAAAAAAAAAAAAAAAAAAAAAAAAAAAAAAAAAAAAACAAATTAAAAAAAAAAAATTTTTTTTTTTTGTTCCTTTTTTTTTTTTTAAAAAAAGGGGTTTTTTCTTCCCCCCCCCCCCCCCAAGATTCAGCATACAAAATTTCAAATGGTGATACAGTGTTACAAAACCAAGGTACAGCTTATGAATTTTGACGTTTGTATTAATACTGTATTAATACTATAAGAGATGACAAGTACATTTTTTACATTCAAGACTTCCTATGCTTTTTTTATCAAGTAGCGTTTTTGTCAATATTTTTTTAAATCTTATTTTTGCCAAGTGCCTTCATTTTTAAGCAACACTTAATGATTGCAGAAAGAATTACATATTAATCAAAAATTATTCTTACTATTGCAAGGGATAGTAGTAGATATGAAGTATGTTCTGCTCTTAAAGATATTTTAATCGTCAGTCCAATATATCACTCACCTGGAGAATACTTTTCAAAAGGTGGATAGCAGGATTTACGCTGAAACAACTGCTTTTAGGAGAAACAAGTGGAAATTGTGTGTGATAGAATATATGTGGTTGTGTATTTTTGTTTTCATGGTTTTGTCTTGGATTGCTGTATATGTTCAAAAGAAGTAGCATTTTGTGTAAACATAAATGATTCTCTAGAACTAGATCTTCCTAATTGTATAGCTTTGGCACATCTTTTGCAGGTATTTTTGGTAGTGATAGCAGTGCTTATGAATTGAAAAACAGTGCCAACTTGGTATCTTTTTTTCTAATATCTTTATTTTTTAAAAAAGCATGGGAATTACTATTAAGATAATGGACTAAGATGTTTGGTTTGGGATGTAATGATAGGAAGTGGCCGTTTGAAGGGAATCAGTCAGGTTGTGAAATACAGCAAAAGGAAAGAAACTGAATGACAAGTAAAGCACAAAGCAACTAGAGGAAGGAATATGGAAAGCCTCCTGTGCTGGATTTGCTGTGCTCCATAGCAAGGTGGAAATCCTTTGGCTTTTTTATTTGAGGCAGCTTTAATACTTCCCTTTCGCAAAAAGGGGAGTGAAAGAGTAGTTCTGTTTTAATTAATCGATCTGTGTAGCCTGCATGTGAACAGGAGCATGCTCTGTCAAAGAGAATTAACCACTTCCCCTTGCTTTCCTTGCATATGCAACATTAATGATGATCTGAGCAATACGAGAACTGATTAAACGCTCATTTTCTTTTGCTTTTCCTTAATATGCTTTTTAGCTTGCGTTGTAGTTAATAGAGCTATATGGAGCATGCTATTTTTCTATAAATACGATAATTCATTAGGAATTAGCTTAAAATGGTAATTCTTTAGGAAATACCATTTTAAGCACGGCTGTAAGTTTATGTAGATACTCTTTTAAAAAGCAATAGGCATTATCTTTCCACAGTTAGTACTTCAAATGAAAGAGGTAACACGTGAGTATTCTGAGACCGAAGTCTGTACTTTGTTGCAAAAAAACCAAAATAGCAGCTAGAAGTTGAATTACAGGTATATCTCAGACTTTTCCTGGAATTGCTCATGTTTTAAAAATACATTATTTAATCTCTTTTTTTTTTTTTTCCCCCTTTCACTGGTGCTTACCTTTGGACAAGTAATTTTACTGAGGTTTCGCCAGGTGAATGAAAATGTGTTTTAAGTTTCAGATTAGCAAAGTTGTTCATATTGCAAAACCAGCATTCTATTTGATGCTAATAATACACTCTATCGATGGTTAGATTAGCAGGAGTTGCAAAAAGATCAGGTTGAGATATGTTAACTGGCGCATATGAAAGTCTGCATCAAAGTAAAAAAAATCCTTCCAAAATTTAAAGAAAAATATAGCAGTGTGAAAGTAGCTTGCCTTTAATTAATAGAAAATGAAGTGGTGTAAGTGTATGTGTTCTATTACCTTCTGCATAACAGTGTATAGTTTTTCTACTTCAGATGTTGGGTAATAACTATACAATGTTAAATGCAATTAATTTTAAAGTTCTTTGCTAGATGCTATCCTTTTCTCGTTCTTTCTGCCTTTTTTGCTATCTTAGTTTTAAACTCTTCCTCCTTATTTTGTAGACACTGCTCTCCTGTTCACTACTTCTTCTCTGTCTTTACGTCTCACCACTGGGCTTCTCTCAGTGTCTGTTTTCCCAACCTACACCCCAAATTCCAGCTGTATATCTACAACCAATTGGTCAGGTAACTGTATCTTTCTCAAGTGATAGACTCTTTGATAGAGCATGCTCTGTTCAGTCCTAGAAAGTCAAGAGGTTCTTCATCTGTGAAGGTTTTTGGCACTTTCCTCACTGTTTCCAGATCTTTATTAATGACATGGACAGTGGGATTGGGTGCACCCTCAGCAAGTTTGCGGATGACACCAAGCTGAGTGGTGCAGTTGATTCACTAGAGGGAAGGGATGCCATCTAGAGGGCCTTTGACAGGCTCAAGGAGTGGGTCAGTATGAACCTCATGAAGGTCAACAAAGCCAAATGCAAGGTCCTGCACCTAAATCAAGGCAATCTCCAGTATCAGTACAGACTGGGTGATGAATGGATTGAGAGCAGCCCTTCAGAGAAGCACTTAAGAGGATGCTGGTGGACAAAAAAATTGGATGTGAGCTGGCAATGTGCACTTGTAGCCCAGAAAGCCAGCTGTGTAGCTGGGCTGCATCAGAACAAGTATGGCCAGCAGGTCAAGGGAGGTGATGCTCCCCTTCTACTCTGCTTTTATGAGACTCCTATCTGGAGTACTACATCCACTTCTGGAGTTCCTAGTACAAGAAGGACATGGACCTCTTTGAATGGGTTCAGAGGAGGGCCACAAAAATGATCAGAGGGTTGGAACATCTCTGCTTTGAGGAGAGGCTGAGAGAGCTGGGGTTGAGAGCTGAGCCTTAAGAAGAGAAGGCTCTGGGGAGACCTTATTATGTCTTTTCAATATATAAAGTGGGCTTATAAAAAAAAATAGAGAGGGACTTTTTACTGGGGCCTGTAGTGATAGGACAAGGGGTAACGGTTTTAAACTGAAAGAGGTCTAGGTTAAATATAAAGAAGAATTTTTTTAACGTGAGGGTGGTGAGACACTGGAACAGGCTGCCCAGAGAATTTGTGGATGCTCCATCCTTGAAAGTGTTCAAGGTCAGGCTGGAAGGGATTTTGAACAACCTGGTCTAGTGAAAGATGGCCCAGCCCATGACAGTGGGGGTTGGAACTAGATGATCTTTAAGGTCCCTTCCAACCTAAACCATTCTATGATTCTAATATCTTATTCCTGTGGTGTTCTGAGTGGTAGACGGATGGTTCGCTTTGCTTCCGCTATCAGGCCACTACTTACAGCTGCTGAAACTGTAGTTTGGGCTTAAAGTCAGTATGCCTTGATGTACAAGTACACGTTAGAGCACCAGGTTAGTGCTTCCAGCTTAGTATCTGGAATGGATGGATAAAATGTTTGATCTTAGCACCAGAGAAATAATTAGACATTGAAATCATGCTGGTGTAATCTGAGTGCTGCTGCTTCCTCTTTGCTCCCCCAGATTTCCAGCTTCATAGATGCAAAATGTGGTTTTACTTTTTTTTTTCCCTATATAGCTGCCCTTGCTTTTGAGGATAAATGTACCCTTAGTGTTGCAACTGGAACCCTCTAGACTGCAGTAAATATTAAGGCAGTATTTGTGCTACCTTGTGACTCTGTTATTCCTATGGTGTTCTGAGTGGTAGACGGATGGTTCGCTTTGCTTCCGCTATCAGGCCACTACTTACAGCTGCTGAAACTGTAGTTTGGGCTTAAAGTCAGTATGCCTTGATGTACAAGTACACGTTAGAGCACCAGGTTAGTGCTTCCAGCTTAGTATCTGGAATGGATGGATAAAATGTTTGATCGGTACAAGTACAGGTTAGAGCACCAGGTTAGTGCTTCTTTCAGCTTACTATCTGGAATGGATGGATAAAATGTTTGATCTTAGCACCAGAGAAATAATTAGACATTGAAATCATGCTGGTGTAATCTGAGTGCTGCTGCTTCCTCTTTGCTCCCCCAGATTTCCAGCTTCATAGATGCAAAATGTGGTTTTACTTTTTTTTTTCCCTATATAGCTGCCCTTGCTTTTGAGGATAAATGTACCCTTAGTGTTGCAACTGGAACCCTCTAGACTGCAGTAAATATTAAGGCAGTATTTGTGCTACCTTGTGACTCTGACCTTTTAAACCTCAGGGTTATAAAAGTGTCCGCATCTTTGGCCATGCTGCTTTAGTCATCCTCTTACAGGTTGGAACCCACTTGCTCTCCTATCGCTTTTTTTGACTTATCTTTCTTATTAAAAAGTCTTTGTGTGGTGATTAGTTTCATGGTGATTTAGTTAATTCTCCTCCTGTTTGTGGTCTTCTGGGTTAATTCATTTGACATCTGCTTTTAAGGAGTTCTCTTTTGAGCCTACTTATTTCAGTCTTTCTCTTGTATTTATTTCAACTGGGCTTGCCTCCCTCAAGATCCAGTCAACTGTGAAGATCCAGACATTCTTTATTAAATCAGTGGGTGAAGGAAGAAAAAAAAATTGCCTTTTGCATTGAGTTCATTGTAATAATGACCTCCATAACGAGTTCCAAATACATGATCTGCTAGACTAAAGTGGAACTGATGCGTGTCTGAAATTAAGGGTTGATAAATCTGATAGTGCTGGTGAAAGACACAACATAAGCATGTCATGCTGTCCGTGTCATGTCTGTAATGTAATTAATGTTGGTGGTTTATTTTCTTAGTTATATTAATCTGTCATTTTTGCCTAAGAGTAGATGATGTTTGTTGTTTTTCTATGGAAAGTGATAAAGTAATGCATAAAATCATGGAATCTGTCAGCTTGAAGGTGGCAGATGTTCCAGAGACTCTGAGGTGCTTCTGTTTTTCACCTGCTCATATTTTGACCATAGGGAAAAAGCTTGTGGGCATGTCTTACTGGCTTTTGAAACTTCTATCTTCACATCATAACGACTTGTCTACTTTATCTGATCTGTCTTAGAGAAGGACTTACCTGAGCCTTAACCTTTCTGATCAACTGCCAGCTCGCTTTTCCAGGGAACAGAATGAACGTTAAGTGAGCTAACAAGAAGCGTCCCTTAGCAGGCAAGACCTGCAGATTAGCCAGTTGGTCATTCCAGTCTCTGTAAATAAAAGGATTTTTGAAACATGAGAGATCAAAAAGCACAAATGAAATTATTATCTGCTTTGCAGCTTAAAAGCTTTGATGCTAAGTGTTTTGGGTGGCTTGAAAATTACAAAGACATTTGCAAAGCAAAATACCACAGATCTTTGAAGACTGCCTTTTTAAGCACCACACCTTCTGTACCAATGACAAACTCTCACTTCAGCTGGCAAACCATGTATTTTCTACAGAGTGATTCTGTGACATCTTAAAAATTTCAGTGTAGGAGATGAATGGATTGAAGTACACTCTTCTCTAGACTTGGCATGTCAGAGGAAGTATGTGCAATTGATGTTGAACTTGCTTCCATTTACTGTCTTAAAGGTTAAATGCTATGGTCTTGGTTACTTCAATGTTTAGAAATACAACCAGAGATACTGTTGTTCAGGAACTGGCAAAGAGAACTAGCGTATGCATGTATGACAAACCTGTTCATACCTACAAAGTTATCTACAAATTTCCCCATTTCTGAGGTTTCATGGATCACTTAAGAAATCTTTATCAGAAACAAAAAAGTTGCTAATTTTCAGCATGATCTTTACTTTTTATCTACTCTTAAACTAGCAGCCAGATCTGTTAGTAGCTGTGAAAAACAGTCCTGCATCCTTTTCTCTTAATGCTGTCAATGCTGACAATTAACATTCCAAGGGTGGCAATCCATAGAGATGATGCTTAAAGGAAGAAGGATAAAAGTTCTATTAATTCAGGAGAACTATTAATACAGGATCACCTTCTCTTATAATTATGTATGTGGAAAGAACTGTGGGGCAACTGGGGTTACAATTTTTCTGTCCTTGGGATTAGCAAAAAGAAAGATCCATTTTTCAAACAGTTACTGCTTCCTTGGGGGTTCCAGTTTTAACATCACAGGTACTTTTTACATCCTGAAACTGGGAACTTATCCTGTTCATTTTACTGAATAATTAGTAGCACCGTTAATGATTTTGAAGATCTTCAAAGTGTAAGCAGTGTGTTTACAGCATGTTGTAGAATTTACTTACTTCAAAGGAAAAAAAAAAAACAAACCTCTTGTCTGATTATTTGGGTTTTTATTCAGCAGCACATCAGAAGTCTAGGAGATAATAGTTAGTATTGATATTATGCTAGAAAACGATCTGAAAAGCTAAAATTCTGGGAATTGTGGCAATAGAGCATTTAATGGGACCCTTGATTGTGGTTGGCTGTTTTACCCTTGTCTTCTGCGCTGTCAGGTTCCTCACTAAGCGAGAACAGAAGCTGATGCAGCGTCGACAACACGCTGAAGAACTGCTGGAGTGGAAACGCCGCCTGGATGCAGAGGAAGCAGAGATACGGCAGATCGAAAAGCAGGCTCTTGCTGCCTGGGACAAAGAGCTGCTGAAAACCAAAATAGCCAAGAAAGACCTGGGAGATCAGAGAACTGAGCCCAAAGGTAGTAGGAAGTGGGGGGGAATTGTTGCAAATGACAAGAGTAAAACGTAATTTGACACAATGATTGTTTAGGTTTGTACTTCCTGTCTTTCGTTGATGTTTTGGTGGTGGTGGTTCTTCTCTGGACACTCTTAGAATCTTGATTTCTGCAGTCCTTACCATCTTCTGTTGCCTTGTTCTTTTAGCCCTATTTTATACCTTAGTTATATGTGTATTCCTCCTATGCTATATGTTTTTTCAAGTGAGGAGTGCAACATAGGCCCATCAGATGTTTCCACATACAATTTAAACTATATTTCTGTCTTTTCAAAACAGAATACTGTGCAATCTTTTGCTGATCTTCCGAACTCACTCCATTACACAATTTTCCCCTGTAGTGCTGTCTGTCTATTCTTTTAGCCTTATTACTATTGCGGAGGATGGCTCTTACCAAGAGCTGCTTTCCCCTCATCTGCATTTTCAAAAAATCGAAGGCCTTTTTTTCTTCCCTCTGTTGTTTATGCAGTACAACTGTTTGAAATCTGCAACTGTGCTAAAGTGCGCTAGGATGTAATTAGTATAAATGATGTTATTGTGAGGAAAAATAAGTTCCCACATGATGGGAGCTACAGCTTTACTGTTCTGTCTTAAGTGGACCCTGCTTTCAGCATGAAGCACAGAGAACTGGATTGCAGTGGGAGAAAATAAAGAAACTTCAGGGATTGTTCTAAAAACAATCCATTTTCCTTTTTTTTCCCCACTTTGCTGAAAGCAGGCAGCACGTCCTTTGAATGTGCGAAGGGAATTCAGAATTATGCCCTATTACACTTGTTGCCAAAATGTCATGTGGATTTTAGGTGTCGTAAGACATTTTAAAGATGGTATGTGTATGAGTCATTAAGTTCCAATGAACAGAAGTTCAGCATGAATGCTGAATTCTCATCCACAGATGAGAAAATACACTTCCTTTCTAGTAATTGTATCTAGCAGTAAGCATTGGAGCACAGCCCTGCTTCAGAAGTGCCTCCCTCTCCCCCAGCCTTTTGCTCAAATATTGAATAGTTCTCCATGGCTGCTTCAGTAATGCTGTGACTCCTGCGGAATTTAGTAAACAGGAATATTGAAAACCCAACTTATTATTTTACTTGTTGCCAGTTGAGAGACTCATGATGAAATCATAACATTAAAATGTTTTCTGCAGCTACTGTAAAGGAAGCAATCAATTCTAAATTTAAGATCTGGCTTGCAGATTATATGCTCCTCCATTACTTCTTCAGACTAATAGTGACTCTTGCTGGGGTATGGTCAACTGGAAGGACAGGTTTCCCTAATAATCTTTTTGGAGTGCGTTGTCCGGAAAATGTTAGAATATCCTGAAAACCTCTTTATTTTAGATATTCAGCAATCACTAAGAACACGTGGTAGTCTAAAATCATAGCTCTATAGTAAACATGCTTGTTCTTGCTAAATATTCCACCCTTGGTGTCTAGGTCACTGAAATAACACTATTTGACACGTATTGGTAGCAATTACTCTTTTATATGCAGGTAGCAGCATTTCTGAAAGCATATAAGTCAGTGCAAGTTCTCACATGCTTTGTTTTTTCTCCCTTTATTCAATTTCAGAAACGGCTAGTGAAGAAGAGTCTCCAATGCCTTCTTGCTCTCATCTAAACAGTGAAAGTTCTATCCCAGAAGATCTTGGCAGTCTCCCTGCTGAGTCTGTCCCTTCAGAGACTATGGGCCACGAACAGCCAGAAAGCCCTGATCAGAGCACAGCTAACGAAGAAATGGTTTATTCTGAAGAGTTCAAGTCCTCTACCTCACCTGGCAAACTTGTGAGTAAGCTTTTTATGCTATATGTGTTCTTAAACTTGTAAAAGGCTGTCAGAAAAGTAGTAAGTGTAGCCATCCCAGTGGTCAAAGCAGAGATTAAACTATTCTCTGTGTTTGCAGAACCATTTGACATTACTGTGAATAAACATTGCGATCAGATATGTTTGTTGAAGTCTTCACAGAGTTTAGATATTTTTAAACTTGTGGGTAGTCTTGCAAAATGTTTTGCGTATGTCACGTAGGTATGCAATGTGAAGTGGTGGAACACTGACCCAGTTTACCAGTGTGAATTAGCTGTAGGGTAGCTTGTTACCATTGTATAAATTCTTTGAGGCCATGGAAACTATGCTCTGTTTTTCTGCTTTGCCTTATTTGCAAGTAATGTATCCCAAAGTATAGTTATAGGATGAAGAAGCAGAGCTGTAACTTCATGAGCAATCCTTTGGGTTTCAGATTATGTCTGCTTGCTAGCTAATTCTGCCTTTTTGGTCTCTTCTAACTATTATTTCTACTTGGTTGATAATTTTGTTAAGTTTCATCCTGATAACTTTGCCCTGTGCTCAATGAGACAGGAAAAGCAATGTCTGTGGGGTAAAAGAAGTGCTCATCCATATTACAAATGCTTTCTTGGAAAGTTTGCTGAGAAGATCGTGGGGTAAAATGTCTAATATGTGCCAAGGTGTGTAAAAGGTTGTGGTATAATGTTGAAGCAGTAAGTAGCATTTTGGAAAAATATTTGCACTTAGAACTTTCTGCTTGGCCTCAGAGCAATAGCGCTGTGTTGTTTTACTGATTGAGAATGTCAGCGTGCACCCTTTATGTGGAATGGTCCTTTTGATATCACAGATGTATTTACTAGGAATTCTATTGCCCTGGTTGTTACCAAATAAGATTACATAAACTCTATTGAACACCTGTGAGTCAGAACCCTGTCATTTCAATTAGGTGGTAATAGAGTAGTCTAAGCAGATTTACTGAAGCAGTCGGCTATTGCTGCTCTTGGTTTTTTTTATTTTATTGTCTAGCGAATTAAGATTAAATTCTTCTTAATTAGCAGTGGATAGGTACCATTGCTTATGAGGTATTCTCTAGTCATGCTGTTCTTTCCTTGTAACTAGCTCCTGATGACAACGATCTCCTACTTTGAAACTAAGCTTTGCAAGCAATTACTTATTTGTCCTTTTCTTCTCCTGTAGTCTCCTCCCAAAAGCAGCATATCTGTATCAAAGCAAGATTCCGGCAAAAGTAGCCATAGAACTGGAGGACAGCTACGTTCACCTGTGAAGTCTCATCAGATATCTCACAACTGGTCTGATGAATCTTTATCTATGACACAGTCAGGTAAGTGTAATGCCTGCTTGGGTTTAAATTGCTTTTTCAAAGCTTTTCCTTTTAACGAGTAAACTTGAAATGAAGTCATAGATGTGGGGAGGCAGACAGAAATTCATGGAAATTGCCACGGTTTGGGGATTTGTGGAAGTATCTTCCCGTGATGTAATGTGATCACTTCAGCTTAAGAAGGTCTTAAGGCTAGAAGGTCTATATAGAATCTCTTCATTTAAAAGAGATCTATCGGGATCTCTTCTAAAAGTCATCCAGCGGGACTTGAACAGGCTGGAGACCTGGGCAGAAAAGAACCTAATGAGGTTCAACAAGAGCAAATATAAGGTCCTGCACCTGGGGAGGAAGAACCCCAGGCACCAGTATAGGTTAGGGGTGGATCTTCTGGGAAGTACTACTTAGGAAAAGGATCTAGGAGTCCTGGTGGATGGCAGGCTCTCCATGAGCCAGCAATGTGCCCTTGTTGCCAAGAGGGCCAATGGAATCCTGGGCTGCATAGGGAAGAGTGTGGCCAGAAGGTTGAGGGAGGTCATTCTCCCCCTCTGCTCTGTACTGGTGAGGCCACAACTGGAATACTGCATCCAGTTCTGGGCTCCCCAGTTCAAGAGAGACAGGAAACTACTGGAGAGAGTCCAACATAGGGCAACCAAGATGATTAAGGGATTAGAGCACCTCCCTTACAAGGAAAGGCTCAAAGAGCTGGGGCTCTTTAGCCTGGAGAAGACAGAGGAGAGACCTTATCTACGTTTACAAGTACCTAAGGGTGGGATGAAATAGGATGGAGCCAGACTCTTTTTCAGTGGTTTCCAGCGACAGGACAAGGGGAAATGGGCACAAGCTGGAACATGGGAAGTTCCACTCAAATATGAGGAAGAACTTCTTTACAGTGAGAGTGGCAGAGCACTGGAACAGGCTGCCCAGGGAGGGTGTGGAGTCCCCTTCTCTGGAGATTTTCAAGACCTGCCTGGATGCAGTGCTGAGTGATGTGCTCTGGGCAACCCTGCTTTAGCAGGGGAGTTGGACTAGATGATCTCTAGAGGTCCCTTCCACCGGTGTCAAATCCATGAATCCGTGAAAGCAACACTGGTTATGAAGAAAATAAGAGTCAATAGTTGAGGTAGTCCTAGAATTTAAACATAACAAGGTTAGCTGTGCTTTTAACAGGTGACACATGTCCACCCCTTTCATTGTAAGAAAGCAAAATATGGTTCAGCAGCATATGATCATCCTCCTTCTGAACACAACCTGACTGCAGAAGCAATTTAGCTCTGCTACCGTGGCAGTATGAGTGAGCCTATTGGACCTGCTCTGGTGTGTTGGACCCGTGCAGAACAAATGGATGCTTCAGGACATAGGCTTTTATTTCTGAAGGAGGGTTTGAACTGTGTGCAGTAAAATAGGGCCTAAGCTTGCATTTCGAGCTATAAAATACAAGATCTAGTATATGGACTTACTATCACAGGTCTTTTATCCAGTATCCAAGCTGGCTACCAGTGAATACCAAGGGAGAGAATATTAGAGGTGAACTGGTACAGAGCAGTCCTTTCCCTGGTGTGCTCTCACAACCTGTTAGTCATGTGGATTGCAGGACTTCCTGAGCCATCGTTCAGTGGGTCACCATCATCAGTTCTGTTCAGTTGTGAAGTCTGTTTTGAACCTTTCTGTAAAGCACAGAAATCTCTGAAATGTCTTGTATTCCCAGTGCAGTTGATACAGCATCATAAAACACAGCAAATGAGATACCATTTTCCTGCTAGTTTGGTGGGTTTTTTTTATTAAGTCCCTAAATGATCAATAAGTCTTTGATGGAAAAAGAATTAGGTGGTTCTATTGTATGTACTGGCTGTTGTTTGTGATCAGTGGATAACTTACTGACGTGTACATATCCAGTCTTCATGGTGCTTGATGTAGCAAGCTTAATAATCTTTTATGTTGGGTTTTTTTATTTGGTTAATATGTGTGTAAGTGCAGTAGAAACTCAGTAATTTTGAGGCAGCTGTTCTCCTACTGGATGGAGAAATGAATACGTAACACCTAGATATTTGCACTGAGGAATTTTTATTGGGGTTCTGCTCAGTAAGCAGTTTGCAACACAGTGAAGCATTCACCAACTTGATAAAGTTATTTTCAAATTCTGACTGAGAAATCACATAAGGAAGCCATTATGAAAAGTTGAGCGGGCAACAGTGGTTATGAAAATAAACTTTCTAGAACTACAGTATTTGATTTCAAACTCTGAAGAAAGGTATAAGAGGAGGGAAGTCCAACAAGGTGGTGCAGGTTTCACAATAAATCATTCCATTGTAAAGAGACAAATCTTCCAAGCTGGTGAGTAGTCATGAAGTCATTACTATGTCAGTCCAATGTATGCGTACACAAGATCGTCAAAGATGAAAGCATGTGCAGATCTTTCCCTTATGAGTTGATCAAGAAAAGCTATAATTACATAGTGGTCACTTACTATTCGGGAGGAGTTGTTAATTACAGTGGCATCATAAAGTACTCCTGATTAGCAAGTGAAGATTCCATTGTTTTTGTGCTGTGCTGTTGTGATGGTGTGTTTGGGTTTTTTTAATTCTCTAAATGGTTAACAACGGTTGTTAATGGAAAAATAATACAGTAGTTTGATGTTATTTACTGGTTGTTGTTGATGGTGAAATTCTTCATTATGGTGGTTTGTTGTCTTGAGAAATGAGATTGATGAGCAAAATAATACCGGTGATTGATGAGCAAAATAATAATTGATGAGCAAATAATACCGGTGACTTACTTTCTAGGATGTTCAGTAAAGCAATTGGTGTTCATGAGCATCCAAGCCTTTTGGTCCAGAAAACATTATAGGTAATACTGAGCGTTAGAAAAGCAAACCAGCCAAGATCCTTCTCTTAAGAGCTGCAGCCGCTGCTATAGAAGAGGAAGGGGGACATCAGCTGCAGGGAGGAGCTCCAGTAGGATTATGTCAGATAAATGTTTTGAAGAGTTTTTGATACTTAGTTGTGTAGCACCAGTTGTAGCACCAATCTGGGACAAGGATCTTGTTTTGCACTGTGGTGGTATACATTTAGAACAAGAATCAAGTGGATATGATATGGGTGGAAAAGAATGAGATGCTGAGGCAGTCTCTCTATAAAGTTTGAGAGACTAAGAGTTTGTTACAGCAGAAATAATGAAATTAGCAGAGTTACTGGGAGAATGGGGTTATCGTGCAGAGAACAGATGTAAGTATTTGGGTTTGTCCCAAGGGAAAAGACATAAAACATCATCGGACAGGCTGGATGACCAGGTTGCAATGAGTTCTGGGCATGGCAAGTAATGGAGGAGATCTTATTAAAAATTACTAAGGATAATGATTAAGAAGAAAATTGTTCAGGTGGAATATAGCTGCAGTCAGTAATGGCATCATAGCTAGGTCTGTAAAATTGAACTTGGAGGAAAGACATGCCAAGTAAATTTCCATAAGCTATTACTGAGTAGTTTATCATGTGTCTGAGTTCAACACTACCACCATTCATCCTGAATAAATTGTCATCCTGACGCCTGACAACAGTGAAAATCTCCGCGTTGTTCAAGTTGACTTTCCTTCCAACTGTTGACCAGTCAGCTCTCCATTTCATAGATGTACTTAGTCTAGGTGGTAGGAAATCTAAACAGGCCAGAAACCTAAACGGCTTTTGGAGTCCACTGTCGCAAGTGAAATTCTCATTAATGAGAATTATAGCTTGAAATTGTATGTCATAATTGTAAACAAATATTTCAGATAAATTATATATTCATCTTTGAGTTGTTAATGAGGTAACAGCATAAACATGGGTGGTTCATGTGAACAAGTTTGGTAACCAAGTTACTGTGAGTATCAGAGCCTTTCTCTTTGAAATCAAATAAGATGCAGCACTTTTTCATATGCTACATAGTAGTGTTGTGAATTTGAGATCCCACTTTAACAGTCTTACTATGCTAAGATTAACATATTGATGTTAAATTCTTTGATATTTTGCTTGGACCATATTTTATATTTACTAAATAACTGCTCATTTCTTTGCATAGAACTGTTTTGTGAGGTGCGAGCTTACAAAGACTAAACCTAAACTTTTTCAGAAACCACATCTGATCAAAGTGACATTGAAGGACGGATCAGGGCCCTGAAGGATGAACTACGGAAAAGGAAGTCTGTGGTTTACCAGCTGAAAAAAGAACAGAAAAAGAGACAAAAGGAGAGACTGAAGGCCCAGGAAGCCAGTCTGATCAAACAACTGGAGGTTAGGAACAGTAGGAAGAAGGGCAAAGTAGAGATTGTTAGTCTTGGCTAAATCATTATAGTGTGGATATTGTTGGCAGAATATTGTATCAACAGCTGTGAAAGACACATTATTGTGAAAGAAGTGTGGGTGTGTTCTGGCTATTTAACTGTTTTCTATAATGAACTAGAGCCTTGAAGCAAAGTATTCCTGTTTCAAATGTGGATCTTTAATGGGTTACTAGCAGCGTTTGGGTGACTTATATATGTTTATACACATGAGTTACCCTAGCTTGGATTAAAGAGTGATGCATGAGTACTTTGTTTTTGAAAGTAAAGTACTAAAATTTCTAGGATTCACAACTGTAGAGCTTTAGGAAGTTAAACAGATTGCTTTACAGAGAAAGCAAGTGTACCACTTATTAATTTAATAGGTTTGGATTGCTGAATTGTAGTTATGGTTTAGTAGACTACAGTTGTAACTGTTTTCATGTGCAGTCGTATGATGAGTTTATCAAGAAGACTGAAGCAGAGCTGAGCCAAGATCTGGAGGCATCACCAACAGCCAAACCTCAAATTAAAACTCCATCCTCAGCTGCTGCTGAGAAACCTAAGATCAAGGCACCACCGCTTCACAGGTAACTGGGACTTCTTTTTGAGATTATTCTGGAACTGCGGTAGATGCTGTTTTAGCAGAAACCATGAGTGCAAAGAAAGCTGCCGACTGCTCTTCCTCAAAGCACTGGGCAGTGCCAGCATCTTTTTGACCTATTTGCTGGTCTCATCAGTCTCAAAACAGCTAAGATGTACTGTCCTTGTAGTCCTGTGCATCTCACTTTTGTCCTGCCCAGCCTTTCGGGTCCTATTTTCAAGCTGTTTCTGAACAGAATTTTCAGTTGTGCAACAACCGTGCCGAATACTTGTACGGATTACAGATCTGAAGGAATTTTTTCCCATTTTAGTCATTCATTATGTCTGCCACACTGTGTGAGGGAAATCATTCATCTCTGCAACTGAAATGTAGAGAATTCAACTGATTTCTGTACTTTTTTCTGTATTTTTAAGTGTTTCCTTTTCTCCAGCAGATGGTGCAATTTTAGTGCATGCAAATTAAAAAAAAACCAACAAGTTTTCTTTTTCGTTTGGCTGCAAAAAAGGCTAAAGTTTGATTAGTCTTTTTAAAAATTACTTTCCAGGACTCTACAAACTCTCCTCTCTGTCCCCATTCCTGATATCTAAGGTCACAGTATGTTGACAAAGCAAACTGTTGATGTTATCATTGGTGTGGTATTATAATTATAGATGGCTGTATTTCCATTTTTATCTATTTAAAAAATCCCAAGCCAACACACTCTGGTGTAACCATGATTCATGCAATTTGATTTTTCAAATTTAGGCCCGAGACAGCTAAAAACTGGAAATCACTGGCTGAATCAGAGCGATCCAGAGCATCTTTGGAATCTATTTCAGAACATGGAGGTATGTAACTGGAAGAATCTATACAGATAAAGATCTCTGAAGACTGACTGTTTTAAAATTCTTTAATCTTTTAAGAGGTTTTAAGAGAGGATGCAAACTTCATAAAGCCATAATGATCCAGTTATATTTTTTACAATTGTTATTTAGTAGGCTTCTGCTTTTGCTCTTCCCTGTATATTCAGTATTTAGCTTTACTCTTGGTGATGTTTGTGTGCAACCATAATTAAGTGACAACCTTTATCCTTTCTTTTGTTTCTTGTTCCCTTACCACTTGAAGAAAGTAAAGAAACCAAAAATAACGAAGAATTTAGGAATGGGGGGGTAGATACTTTTCAGTGGTTTGCTGTTGATCATTATCTAATCATTATCTACAATTCTAATCTTGCTTGTTTGTGGTTTGCAAACAAATAACTGAGCTCTTACCTTGGGCTCAGTGTTGCATGGCATTATGAAATACTGGTACAAGGAACAGAATCTGAAAGAAAGCTTTAAAACACTGGAAATGGAAGAATGTTGTTCATGTTCATAGAACACTTAGAAATACATGTTTCCAAGGAACCAGTAGGTATCTTCTTTTAGCATAGAAACCTTGATGTTAACTTTGTTGCCTGTGGTTGCAGTTTTCAATAAAGCAATACAGGCTATACAATCTGCTGTAATAAACTTTTTATTTTCCTTCTAGATTCTTTGTCATCAAAAACTGAGAGATCTGTGTCTGTGCACACCAAGAAGGTGATAGATGTTCATGCAGAAGAACCTTCTGGAACATCTTCTGTTTTAATGTCACCAAGGATTTCCAGAGCAGGATCTGGTGACTCCTTAGATAATGTACCCTCATCATCTCTTCTCAAAGACATTAACAGGATATTCCATGGGTCAATGAACAATGTGGTAAAAGCATCCAATGATGAGGCTGTCTTCAGTCATAAATCTGAAATACAGGAAGACTTGGAATACATAAAGTCCGAGGAATATGAGACTGAAGGTTCTCATGTTAAGCCTTTGGAGAGTTCTGATGTCTTGTTGACATTAGATAAAGAACAGGAGAGCTCACTGGACATCCTTCCAAAGAAAGTCCTCCATTCTGAAAATGAACACCCTCAGAAGGAACTCTTTGGTTTGGCTCTGGCAAGTCTTCATGGTTCAGAAGAAATCTTAGAACAGAAACCAGCAGATAAAGATGCTGTAACTGGCCTGAATGTAGAAGAGTATTCTCACAAATCAGCAGAGGAAAAAGGTTATCTGCTTTCAGAACAACTCTTTAGTCAAAAGGAGCCATCATACCTTGAAGACTTTGAAGGATCTTCCTCCAGAAAACAAACATCAGTCGAAGAAACACTTCCTGAGCAACGTTACAAAGATGACTTTGAAGCATCTCTTCTCTCTCCTAACGGGGATGGTCAGTCACTGACAGAGCACTCACAGCACACACAAACCAGCAGAAGTAGATCCACCAGCCTTGGCAGTGATGGTGAAATCAGTGAATGCCTCAGCGACAGGTCTATCTCTCTGTCTGGCAGCGTGCATTCAGAGAGGTTATTAGAACTTAAGTCCCCAACAGAACTTATAAAAAACACTGAACGCAGAGATGTGGAGCAAGAACATGCCCCTGCTGAATCACCGCTGTGGGCCCCTGTTTCAATCACAGAGGAAACAGATAGTTTGCCAAATTTCAACATTGGTGATAGAGTACTTGTGAGTAAAGTCCAACCAGGAACATTGCGATTCAAAGGTCTGACAAAGTTTGCCAAAGGATTCTGGGCTGGTGTGGAGTTGGATAAACCTGAAGGGAACAACAATGGGACTTATGATGGTATTAAATATTTTGATTGCAAGGAAAAGCATGGTATTTTTGCTCCTCCTCAAAAAATCTCTCACATTACAGAAAGTATTGATAGCCATTTAGACACAAATAAGGATGAAGACTCATTCTTTGATGATAGGCTGGAGAAACAACACAAAGCTGAGCAGAAAGACAGAGGAAGTTTCAAACCTGGCAAAGAGGCTGAAAGCCAGAGCAGAGATGCAACAGAGAACTATTCCCAGGATAAAACTCCTGCAGACACAGCTGTTTCAGAAGCCTCAGCTGGTGAAAGGATTGATGAGGAGTCATCTTCTAAAGCAAGCAGCATAAAGGAGTTTTCTGTAGCTACTCAATCACTTGCCCAAGAACAGTCAGTGGTGGATTATCTGAAGCATGCTGTAAAAGAGGAGACCAGCCTCGCTCCTCTCATTTCTGGTGTTGTGGATGAGATTTCCACTGGTCAGTTGGATGACATCTCAGATTTCCTTTCTGAAAAACTTGAGAGGCAGAAGACACTGGGGGAAGAATGTGCTGAGAAGTTAGATGATCTCTCTCCTGGAGTTGTGGAGAAGCCTGCAACTCCACTTCTGGATTTGCTGGCAAAAGAAAAGACCCAGTTAGAAGCCCAGCTTAAACTACCAGATAGAGAGGAAGAAAAGTCAAAAGACCAACTGGAAAAGGTCAGTTTGCTGACTGACAGTCTACTAAGGGATTTTGTGAAGGACACAGTCAATCAGTTACAGCAAATAAAGAAGGTCAGGAATGAGAAAATCCAGCTCAGCAACCAGGAGCTCTGTGATGCGAAGGAGGAGTCCAGTACCCCATCCCAGCAGGTAGAAAACCAGATTCCCAATGGACTGAATAACTTTTTTATAAGTTCAGATTTGGAAGATGAAAGAGAAGAACTTTCCTCTCCAGACATGTGTCCCAGACCAGTGAGTAACACACACCTTGCAGTGATTTTAAGAGTTGATTGTTCCTTTGGTGGTTGAATCTGAGGAATGCTGTGTGGGCACCAGTTTGTTTTCTCACAAGTTCTATTTGGTGATGTGGAGATTGCCAGTATGTATGTCTTTTACATGTGTGCTATGGTGCATCCTAGTTCACAGCTCATTTTGGTCACCTTACAGCCTTAAAGACACATTTTGGCACATGAAAGTGAATAAGACTTCATTTAGGTTGCATTTTGCCTGCATATTCAATTTGTATTTAATCCTTACCCTCAGTGTTTATTCTAAAAATGGCAAAATGCAATAAACTGTAAACTTACCTCTGTCTATTCTTGATATGAAATTATTATCCTTGAACATAATTAGTTGCTGTGGAGATCAATAAGGTGTATCCACTGAACTAATATATCATGAGTAGTGGAAGTTTAAGCTTCCTCAGAACAACCATTAATGATCCAGATACAGGACTGGGCTTTCTGCTGAAGATCCCAGTAAACCTGTCTCCTTTGCCATTGATCTCAATATATTATCATCACAGAAAGCTTCAGCCCATTTCATCAGTGTGAGCACTGCTCAGTCACTAAAACAGCCATCATCTGCTAAAAGCTTTTAGGCTGTTGATTTAGATCTGAGACTGCTGGTGAGTGAAAAGTTGTATGTCACGTTATCGGTCTTTAAACCACTCAGCCTTTCATAAACAGTTGAACGTTAGGACAGACAGTGGGCTGGATGCAGGATTCTGTGGGAATCCTCTGAAAGCATTCATCAGTAATGGTAGAAACCCCAGGTATTTTAATCAAAACATTTCCAATTTTACTGTGGGCTCCTTATTCTTTTTCTGAGTATTTGTGCATATATTGCCAGTTGCAATACCAGAGCATTTAAAAATATAAGTTGAGTTAGACAACACTGTGACATTGCTTTTATATTCACTCTGTGGCTCTTAATTCACAGGAGAGTCCAGTGTTTGGTGCCAGTGGTCAGGAAGAGCTTGCCAAGAGACTGGCAGAGCTGGAGCTTAATCGGGAGTTCCTGAGTACACTGGGAGATGATCAAGACTGGTTTGATGAGGACTATGGCCTGAGTTCCCATAAGGTCCAGCACAAGCAAGCTGAGGAACCAGCAGTGCTGCCCAAGGTAGAACCACAGAAAGTGCCAACAAAGCTGTCTGAGGAGCCTTTGGCAGTCCCTCATACCGCGGTGGAGGTGGAAGGTATGGTACATGCAGCAGCTGAGGAACTCTGGAAACTGAAAGAGCTGGGTCGTGATCTGCAAAGTTTCAGCCTTCATACAGATCTCAGCAGTACCCTCAAAGAGCAGGACACAGACACAATAAACAAGCAGGTTTATAAAAAGGTACAGTCTTCAGGCATTTTGTTCTTGCCCTTTGAATGTTTACCCCGAACAGCAGCAGCCTTAACTTTTGCTTCTTTCTTTCAGGTGGTATTTGATTTAACAAGAGAGATCTTTGGGGAAATCTTTGCTGAGGATCCTAATCTAAATCAGCCTATTTGGATGAAGCCATGTAGGATCGCATCTGCCTACTTTCGCCGAGTGAAAGATCCAAATGATCTAGATGAAATCAAGGTAGGAAGAAACCTTTGTCATGCACGGAAAGTGAGATGAAAAATACTGTACTGGCACTTGCCTGAATCTTAAAAGATCGTAACAGGTGTATCCAGCAAGAGATGAGTTGAAAAGACAAATGAGATTACAGATCTGAAAAGGGAGTTGGTCAAAATGGTCCTTTTGTAATTCAACAGTTTTGCCTGATACTGGTTGCATTTAAACCTTAGTCCTCTGTGCAGCATTGCCAGGATGACCTTGATCTTATAAAACTGGTGTGCTGACAGAAGGCAGCTTTAGCAGATTTCAGTGGAACTCTGTATGGGTATATTGGTGTGGATCCAAGAGTAGGGTTGGGCCAAATGGGATGAGCTGGAATTTTGTAGTCGGACACACCTGTGCCAGCCTCATTGACGGCAGCGGGAGTTGTCCAGAGGGACCCAGAATTTGACTGCTGAGGACACTGTTGTATTTGGCAAGCCAGAGAAGGTCTGTTGTTAATGGTGGTAGTGTTCAAGGACAAAACCCCAAAAAGCTGGAGCCTGGCTGGACCTGAGTTAAACTCACAGGGCTGGACATTTAGGAAAAAAAAAAGCTGTCTCCCTGAAAATGCTCAACAAAGAACCTTTTGTACAGCTCATCAGGGCACAAATGAAGACTTTCACCTGTATTGTTTCTTCTGAAATTGAGAGGTTTTTGACTGTATTTCTGTATTTTGATTAACCTGTTGAAGATCCAGCATGTTGACTGTCTAGAAAAGACAGAAATACTATCTAGGGGACACTATTAGTTGAAAAGACATTCAAAAGTGTGTGGCAGGGGAGAGCAGGGGCACAGGACAAGGACACCAAACTCCCACCCTGCTTTTTTTTTTTTTAATATTCTTCCATAAAATGAATTGTCATAATCTCCTGTTTGCTGTACTGTTTAATTGAAAGTTTATGTTCTTAAGATTGTTAGAGCAGTGGGTGTCATTCCCCCCCCACCCCACTTCTGGATTTAATAATTGTTCTGCCTGTGTAATGCTGCCTTAGAGATTTTCAGTGTAACTTTCTTGCATGCACCACATGTCTCTTGGCTAAACAGAGAGCTGTTACCCTTAGAGATTTTCACTGCAACTTTCTTGCATGCACCGCATGTCTCTTGGCTAAACAGAGAGCTGTTACACGTTCTATTAATGTGACTTTCGAGGGTAGGTACTTTGCATGTGTTTTATTTCTTAGCTCCAAATGTGATAAATCTCACCTTTCCTCTTTGCCTTCTGTAGAGCTTCATTGCGGCTGAAGTTCTGAAGCTGTTCAGCCTGAGGAAGGAGCCGAATCACAAAACAGACTGGCAGAAGATGATGAAATTCGGGCGGAAGAAACGAGACCGAGTGGATCATATACTGGTCAGTGGATGAAAATAAGCAATTGACAGATACTGTCCACCAGACTGAAGTGGGACATATGATTGTATGTTTCAGTATCTGGTCATGCTGTTTAAAGAATACAGTGTGCGCGAGGTCTTGATAAAAGTGTCCAATTTTAGAGAGCACCCTGTTGATAAAAAGAGAAGTCCAGTGCCAGTGAAGTGAGGTGTCTCGAGTGAATTCTCTGTTCGTGGCTACTGGTTTGACTGGAGTATAAGTTTGCCCACTGCCAGAAGGTTAAAGCATGAATTTACAGACAGAAACACTGCAATATTTGACTAAAAGGAGAGTAAACTTTTTCTTTGGGAAGGGAATATGTTTTTCCTTTTTACTTCAATTTTTTTAAGTAATATTGTTTAACTTGGAGACAGTGATACTGAGAACTTAATAGCCCAGATTGCTAACCAGATTTAACTGAAAGGCTGCAAAAGTTGTTGAGTTAGCATTTCCTCAAAGCTAAGTAACCAGCAGGACTTCTGCTCCTCTGGCACTTGAGGTGAATGTGGCTGCCGATGGGGCAAAGGTGGTTCAGCATTAAAACTGCATAAGATAGAGCATGTCTGGCTGTGTACTAGTTTTTGAAAGTTACTTGCTGGCTTGTATTGCAGGATGATTAACATCTTTATTGGCTATAATAATAGTGAAGGTTCTGCTTGGGAATATGAGTCGTCATTAACACCGTGCTTCACTTAATTATACCTGAAATTGATTCAACACACGCGTACATAGAAGTAACTTCGAGTCATGGGTCGTGTGGTCTTTTAATTGCCCATCAGTGGAAGGCTTCCAACATAGGCTTTTTCCCAGGGGTTTAATTTTAATTGTATGTAAATAGAATATCTGTGTATAGGACCTCCATATCCTAGTACACTTGATTCTGGGGTACACTTGATTCTGGGATATGGAGGCTGTTAAAGCATGCACAGAAAAGACGTATGTTTGGATCCCTGAGAGAACTAATAGTCCAACTTCTATGCTTGTGTACAAATTTCCTAATTTCTTTGAACCATACCTGGAAAGAAAGATTCCTGACTGGAAAAATTGTTCTAGTTGAAGGCACTCAAAGTGCTCTAGGTGGAACGAGTTTGAAGTTCAGACAATCTGGTCTGTGATTTACATGCAGCCCCAGACATCAAAGATTAATGGAGCTCTGACAAGCTTGGCTTAATAAATAATGTGTTTAATTTTATTTTGTTCTCCCAAGAATATGGTAATAAAATTTTAGCTGAAGACTGGGAGTAACTCTGTGAAGATTGCAGCATGCCATGCTTTATGAATTAGGTAGTTTCAGTGACATTTGCTAACAAATTTATACTGTAATGTGAGACGCTATCAGAGAAGCTTCTAACTGAAAATCTAAGGTGATAGTATTCAATTTCTCTTACCTTGTTTTAATAAAATCTGTACAAAACATGAAGTATCTCGATAGCTTTCTCTGCCTCCTAGGTAGCCTCCAACTTGTGCATAAGGTAATGATAATGTAAATCCAAGGCCATAAGTGGATATACAGGTCTGTGCAAGATCTGCTGCCTATCCACTAGTAACTCACGGTGTAGACCTGAGAGGTCAGTTTTGGAGTTTTCCAAACTTTGTTTAAAGTATATTCAATTAGTGCAACATAGCAATTTCCTGAACGAGGAATCAACACCTACTTGGTAGGCTTAGGTGCTCTAGAAGCTTCTTTAGGAATCTCAATTGAAAGTGCTTTGTTGAAGTTTTCATGAAGATTTAGCCAATATAGGCTTCTTGCAACGTGCAGGGGGTGCCACGTGAGTACATATATGAGCTGTTTGATTCTCCACATTCTTTTGCTGTTTATAAAGACAAAGGCTGTTAAAAGAAAACATGATCTTCTCGAAGCAGAGGTAAACATTCTTAAGCTCCTGTTATTTGTGTTTAAGTAACAGGTCCTTCTAAATTTCTTCATTTGCCCTTCAAGTAAAACTAGCCTTCAAATGAAAACATCCTTTGATAGTTTTCTATTGAGACAGCTACGTAATTTTAGGATCTTTTAGAGGACTGTCCCATATGCTCTGACCTGGGATCTGGGCATGACTAAGGGGGAGGAGGGTTTTGATACAGAGGAAGCGGATGCACATTATTAACAACTGTCAAATAGTGGCATCAGGTAGCTCTAAAACCAGGAGTCGTGGCTGTTTGCTGAATTTCCTTTTATTTCTTCTGAAGGCACAGAAGCAAGTGCCAAGCTATTCTTTCCAGCTTAATCTCTTCCTGATTAGCCCTGGATGTGTCCTTCTGGGTTTATCATAGTAAACCCAGTTCTTAGGGGTTCTTGTCTCCACCAAAGGTTCATGCTTGTGGGGAAGAGGCACAGCAGTAGAAGGAGCCTGGGGAGAACAGAATGCTCACCCTTTGCTCAGCTTGATCTTTGCTACTTCATCCAGTCACTGCACCTTCAGTTGCATTTTCACTTTTGGCTGCACTTTCCCAGCATTGACACCAATATAGTTAGCCATGTTTTTCTGCCAGTGGCAAAAAAACATCTTCCTCTTCTACTGTTTTTTTTTTTCAGGACTGTTAGCTTTGATCGGGCATCTCTGTCCTCAGAAAGCATTGGTATTGGGATTTCTTAAGAGACATCTCTGATCTGCTGGATAGTTGCTCCAGTTACTAACATTCACAGTAAATCTTGGCTTTTAGTAAACAAATACAGGAGGATCATGTTTATGAAAAGCTGCTTTGTTTAAAATCAAGTTAAAGGAGTGTTTAGGTGTTCGCTTTCTTCTCATGTCCCTTCATGTTGCTACCTTTATCACGTATATGCTGTCTGTGCTCTATAGGAGAATCCCAAATGTACACCTAGACCGAGGTGCCACATTTTGGTACATCAGGGCTGCCTGCACCTTTCAAAACCTCTTTTTAGTTTAAAAAGCAAGAGTCCTCCTATGTCTTTATTTAAGTTCAGGTGCTAACAATAGACTGTTTGCAGTATTTTCTTTTTTTTCCACTTGGGTCTTCAGCCAAAACTCCTTGTGCTGATCTGTTTGCACAATCTCTGCCATTGCTTTCCCTGCCACCCCCCCTTCCCTTTTATCCAGAGCTTGAGAAAGCAAAGCTCACACAATACTGCCAGCCCTACGTGTTTATCTTTCACACCTGAGAAGCCTGCCAACAGGGTGCTGAAAAGTACTTGATCTACTGACCTGTTGACTTAGCGGCTAGAGTGTTTCTTTCCATGCAGTTTTGAACTCTGCAACAAAGCAAAGCTGTTCCTGTCAAGCTGTATTAATTGGAAAGCCAACTTCTGTGGTGCCAGAGACTTAAACCCAAAAGGAGTGCAGCAATAAGAAGAGAATTGAAGCTTGCTCGTATGCACAGTCGTGCATCTTAAGGTTTTAAGCACTCTGAGAGTGAAGGGCCGTGAGAATGCACCTTGCCTGCCTTCCTCCGACTGGCATTCTTCCAAGGCAGTAGTTTATTTCTGGATTTCTGTACTTTTCAGTCTCCAAGTGATCTGCTCACTCCTTAAATGTAGTTACTTTTGCAGATATTCATGGTGTTGAATGGGAACCTTCAGAAATCTAAACCTAATAATTTACTTTTTAAAGTTTCCTTCAGATTATATTATTTTTAGTGTTGCTTTTTGGACACTGTGGCATTTATTACATGGCCAGCAGGATCATGCTTCCTCATTATCTTCTGATTATTTTTTTTGTGTGTGTGCATGCTTCCGTTTTTCGAGTGTTTAAAATAAAAACAAACCAAAGCGCACACAAACCATACAGCACAGCCTTCGGCGTTGTGTCACTATTTATCTTTTCCTATAGGATGGAATCCAGTTTCATTAGAACAGGGGTTCCTTTTCCTGGCTTTGCACAAATGCAGTTTCTCTCAAAATTTACTTCCTGGTATGAAATACATAAAGTTTTTCTTTTGTCATGAGGATGTGCAAGAACTTAAATGCTGTGCGCGTACTGAAGACAATGCAAAGCCTTCTTCCATGAAAGCCATGATAGTCACCAAATGTAAGCCAAATATAAGCAAACTGTCTCCATGGATTAGAAGCAGTTTGAAATACTACAACAAATGGATAAAACATTTCTGAGATGAAGCAGTTGCAAGTTCCTTGGTTCAGATGTCTGCAGCTAGGGCTGCAAAGCAGCATGGCAGTTTCCACACGTGGTCTGAATACTCTATAAACAAGACTTGCCTGCAGCTGCAAATTGCACATTCTCTGAGCTTTCCAAAAGTATGCTCGAGGAAGTCCTCTTAATGTCCTAATGCCAAAGGAAATTGTGCACTGGGCCTCTGAGAAAAGGAGAGTGATAGAGGCAAGAGAAAATTAATCACTGATACGTTTTTTCTTTCTTGATCTTTCTGCTGCTCTTTAACACCCAGCCTCTCTCTGCCCGTGTCAAGTTACCTTGAGCTCTCTCCTTTGCTTGTGTTTCTTTATCCTGTGAATCTCTCTTTTTCTTTTTTTTTTTTTCCTTCTCTTCTCCCCCACCCCTTCTCCTGGAGCACAGTAAAGGAACTGTCCCATCCCATAGTTGCCAAGTGAGACAGAATAAACAACAGCTTAGTGTGGATCTAGGTATTAGGGTTTGCTTAAGGGCCAAGTGAGCTCAGAGCTTTTAACCTGCTTGGTTATTTTGCTCAGTTGCTTCCTCCCACCCCCAGTGTTACGTTCACTGGGTCTCAGCTTTGCATCCCAGCAGTGAGGTCACTGCCAGCTGGGGAGGGTCGGGCAGAAAATCGCATTGGTTGGTATTTTGCAGCTGCTCCAAGTTACCAATCTTGATGTCATCAATGTCCCTGAGCATCCCCCAGCATTCATTTCCACCCACCTCCTTCATCACTAGGATTTTTCCTCCAGCCAGGATCTTCACCTTCTCCCTTTGGAGCCCCTGTTTTCTCTCCCAGACTACTTCTGCTTTTTGGGAACCCTTTTTTATTTCGCACCACCTCTTTTGTTTTGTGATGACTATCTCTTGCTTTTCCTCATCTAAATAGTCTGTGCTACAGACACACAACACATGATCAGCTTCTAAATTGGTGCTTCTATCTTATGCCTCTTTATTGATGGGAGGACTTGGGTCACGCTGCTATTGTTTTGTCCAGGGTTTATCAAAATCTATAACCAGTGTACACCAGTTGCAGGCAGCAAGCTTCTGCTTGAGAGAGAGTTCAGAAATCTGTTTCAGACATTCACTCCTACACAAACTTGCAATTATCAGCACCTTGTTAGCATTCTATTTAAATTATTTTTCACCTACAACTCTTGTTCAAAGTTTGATTGCCAGTGGTGTTGCTTCTTCCTTATTAGTAAGAAGAATAATGAAACCATTAACACCTCGTCCTTGACAATGGAGCACTCGCACAGAGATTTGTAAGCATGTAGCATGACTCCTCCAAAGCTGTTTGTGGGATGAGATCCCTGCCCCTCTCCCCAAGCTCTCCCAAGAGAGAGAGAAAGGAGCTGTCAGACTGAAAGCCCGTGTCTAACTGAAGCCTTATGAATGACTACAGACCCTGAAGCAGTGCTGGTTCCCTGGGGTTCACACAGTGTTTGGGTTATTGAATCATCATTATGCTACAGCAGCTGTCATCTTCAAAACAGACAAGTTTTTGGGTGGTTTATCTTCAGGCAAAAAAAAAAATATTGCATATTGATACTGGATTAGAGGATTTTGAGTATGTTTTAACCTTGTTTTGGCAGTGTCTACTTGTCTGTCCCACTTGTAAATGTACAGTATAAATGTAGTTTGGGTTCAGAGCCTAGGATTTACGGTCAGAGGAGCTTTCTGCTGAAGCTGAGCAGAGAAAGAGCTTTCAGCAGGTTTACTTTCTCATTTTAAATATGAGTGATGATTGCATCCAGTCTTTCTTTTCTCAAAAGTTTGAACTTTTGAACTTTTGGGTTTGGGTATATCTGTAATACTGAAATGGTCACCAAGACAAATTTTTAATAAGTTTAATTGGAGATGTCCAGTCTGGAGAGCCTCTCCGTAAGACTTGATTTGCTGAATGAAATTATATATTTCTGTCTGTTACCAAAACACTTATTTGCCAATAACCAGTAAAACAGGATTTCACGTGTCAACAATTCAGGAATAGAAGGAAATAAATACTCTTGGAGTTACTCTTTTAGCTGTAATGGCACAAAATTCCATTTGTAATAATGTTCTCAAATCCAATGAAGCATGGAGTATTCTGTGCAAATGCCTTGTAATACTATCATACAACTCATGCAGCATTTTGTCTTCCTATATAGAAGAATTGGAAAAGTTAGTTACTTCCTTTAGGTTTTTTAATTCTTACTCAAATAAAATGAACTGCAGTAAAGTCTTTTCTTTTTCTTCTTTCCCCGTTCAAGGCCTTTGCATGATTTCTTACCAGTTTAAGCTTCCATGGAATCAGCTTCTTGCAAATATGCAATTAGGGACTTTTTTAATGGAGCTTCTGTTGTTGGCTAAGAAAATCCCATTAGCTGAGTTCTTTCAAGTGAAAAACTTGTGCAGGAATATGAAATCCTTTGTAATGGATACGGAAGTGAAGGGCAGAAAGGATTCATACAGTAAAACAACCTGTTTCAAATAGATCTGTGTTCATTTTGCTATTGCAAGCATTTCCTGTAATCTCTTCCAAAGACAGATATGTTGTTGGCAGATGCCCACTGTTTTGGACTCGTTCTGGAACTTCGCAGGGGGTATTATCCTGGAGCAACAGAATTGTAACGTTTGTTTTTGTTTTTTTTCTCCTTTCTGACCTTCAAGGTGCAGGAACTTCACGAGGAAGAAGCGCAGTGGGTGAACTACGACGAGGACGAACTGTGTGTCAAGATGCAGTTGGCAGATGGGATCTTCGAGGCCTTAATCAGAGACACTGTTGATGTACTGAACCAGATAAATGAGAAACAGCGGAGATTGCTGCTTGTCTGACCGCGCTGAAAATAAACTCAGAGCTGCGTAACCACTGAGTCACCGGCCTTTCCGACTCCTGACGTTACTCTCCATCCTGCAAGCCCTGCTGCTGCTGGACTTCCCTGCGTGGAGTTTAAAGGCAGTGATTAAAGGAACCTGAATTTGCATCCGCTGCCACTAGAGACCTCGCACCAGATTTATTATTTGGAACGAGCTGATCCCTCACTCGAGGCTGTATTGTGGAGTGCTCAAGACTGTTCATGTGCCAATGCAGTTATGCCACATAACTGTCAGCAGCTGTCTGGGGATTTGACATGTTCAGCTTGTGGTCTGCATGGGTTGGGTTAAGTTGAGATACTGGATGCTTTGCTGGAATGGCTGTCAGCCTTCAGTACTCAACTTGTCTTTAGAAATGTGAGTAATTTGGAGAAGAAACGGTTTGGTCAGGTTTTAGTCATAAACGGAGACTTACCATACTGAAGAGTGTTAGAATCTTAACACCTCTTCTCCTGCAGCCCTAACAATGTGCATCAGTTTTTTCTGCTCCAGAGCCCATTGAATTCCCTTCTCTGTGAAGTTGGTTTTCACCTTTCTTCTGTGATGTGGTACCAAGTATGGTGCCGGCCAGTCCAGGGGAATTAGATAATGTTGCTTTTTGCATTCAAGTAAAGAATTCTTGCTGCTTTTCCTATGTAACTTGCTTCGGTCCCAAGGTGAAGCAAGATAAAGGCCACCTAATGTCAAGCATGAAAGATGAGCCCATGGACAACTTTCCTCCTACCGTGTAGCACTTCTCTTCCTGGAGCACCAGCTGCTCCCAGATAATGGATACTCAGGACTTTCTCAGGCACGAGAGATGCAGGAGTGGAAAATAACTTCCTCCCAAAAATTTGGCCTTCAGTCCCTCAGCTTCCTCCGTTACTGTCACCTGATAAATTGGAGCAGCTGTTACTTGAAGAATTTAGAGAACAGAGTGTATTCACCAAAGAAAGCAGTGTCCAGTGCTTGACTGTCTGCATGTTTTGTGCTTGTGGGTTTTTTTATTTATTTTCAGATAATTTATTAAGTGGGTTATAGGAGAGTGTCCTGTGCAGTTGGCTGCACTGTCTTAGGTTTTGAGACAGCCGAACTTGAGAAAGCATCTGTTCTGGAAATTTCCAGAGCCCCGTATTCTTCACACAAAACCTCCAGCTTCTTGAGACAGACTTCCTTCTGCTGAGTGCTCCTTCCTAACCTGTCCCTCCCATTCTCCTGTTTTTATTGGAGGAACACAGACAGTCTGGGGTCAAACTTTGATGCCTTAATAGTGGATGTCCCTGTTTCCTAACCTGGGACAAGACCCAGAGGAGAGTCAGATTCTCCAGACACACTGAAGCGCAGAAAGACACTTTGAAGCCCTCAGAGATGCCCCAGAGATGCCACAACCCATGATAGATGTGGCGGGGAGATCTCTACTGTCTCTTTCATCTGCTTGGTTCTTGGGCTTCCTGCTATGCATACCTCTGCTACTGCTCCCTTTTTGTTTTCTCTTTTCAACCTTTTTTTTTTTTTTTTTTAAGCTATCATTGGAGTATTTGCATTTTGCACAATGACACACAGCTGGTAACTTCTTCAGGGACAGCACTGGGAAATGTTGGATTTGTCAGAGGTCCATGCAAATTCCCAGATACAGTATTGCCAGCAAATGACTTATGAGTTAATGGTGAGCCATATTCATGGGAGTTTAATGAGTGGAAGAACAAGTAGGAGGTCATGTTGTATAGGAACACCTCCAGTGGGCATGTGCCACGTCTGTTTTGCAGTAGTGGCCCTAGAAGTCAAATAGTCTTGGTGGAGTTCAGCATTTTTTACCCTAAGTGATTCACTTGTCCACGTAAAATGTCATGGTGCTGAACCAGGAAACTCTCAAATGCTTAAGTTAGAAGCAAAAAAAAGCTGCTGCATTTAACCAGCATGGTGTCACTGACTGGGTCACCGCCTCAGATTCCCTTTCCTGGGTGTATCTTCTTCAATAGCAAGGATCGTTATTTTTATAGGTAGCAATTAGGGAAAGAAGGCAGAAACCTGCAGCGTAGGTTTGTGGCTGGAGTATCACAGAAACAAAGTCAGTTTCTGTTCTGTAGATCTCGTGGCTGATATTGAGAAGGTTGCCCTGCATCACCAAGGCTTTTGGGCTGGTCTGCGGGGCTGGCTTAGCTTTTCTGGTCTGTCCACCAGCAGGGAGAAGGTTGTACAGTTGGCCTGCTGGGGACCATTGGAGATCATATGCCTGTTGTCTTGCTGGCTTGGATAGCAGTAGTTGAACACCCTCTACAGAAGTTGTAACTATTTTTACAGCTGTTTGGGTAGAAGGAGGCTGTGTCGAAGTAATGGCTTTATTCCTTTGTAGACATCATGTTTATTTTTTGGTAGCAATCCTTGATTTGGAGCAAAAGACTTGAACGTACGTGAATTATCTTCTCAATACCTCAAGTGTGTTGAGTTGCTTTGAGCTGAGTGTATACTCAAAACCTGGAGTGTGTTGAGTACTTGTGGACTGATGATTGCCGCGACGAAGCAACGGTCTGTCTGTGTCGTGGCTGGTAGTGAGGAGGTGTGGGGAAGCCTAGAGTCCCACGGAGGCTGAATTCTCCATTTCTCTCCTCTCCCCAACCTTCTCATTTTAATAACAAGAAGATATTTCCGGGTCCTGGTTAAAAGGTTCAAGGCTGAGACATTTTTTTTTCTGAGACCCAAAAGACGTTTGGGGACAGTGGCTTGTCACCACTGGGGAGATGCGGTTCCCTCTTGGGAAGGATCTTGGTGCCAAGTGGGAAAGCCCAGGCTTGTGAGGAGAAGGAGCACGAGTACCTCTGTCACAGCAGGATGCTCCCTGAGCCAAGCTGTGGAATATCAGTGCTTCTGCCTTCCCAAAAAGGCTTGTCGCTCACAAGGTGGAACGAGAGGCTGAAAAATCCCGTCTTGTTCACTTTCCTTTCTTGAAAAAAGTGGCCTTAGCTTTTTGCAATACTTGAATAAGTGTGTACCTGCAGAAGATCTTCAGTAGCACAGAGATAGAGACCTTTTAAGTGACTATTCTGCGAGGAACCGCGCGCAGTTCCGACTTTCATATCCCTTTGCTACCTTAAGAATATTAGGAAAATAAAAGTACTTTTCAGCAGAGAAACAGTTGAATCTTATAAGGTATTTAGTGCATCTGAAGTGTTTACAAATCAACTAAAATGGAGAAAAGCGAACTATTGAACCTATTTGTAATTTAAATGTTAAATGCAAAAATATATACAGATGAAAGAGGAATACTGTAATTAACCTGCATTTACTAGTTTTTTCCTTGACTTTGCAGAGCCTTTTGATACACATTTGCAAAGCCGCCTTTTGGGAGGCTCTGTCTCCCTGTCTACTGTGTGTGGAGATGCTGAAAAGAAACCCTTTTACTGTGTACGTGTAAATAACCTGGTAACTTGGTTTTTGGGCCAGTTTCAGCTAATGTTCACATCCAGAGCAGCTTTGCACAGTAGGCAGATCCAAGGATGTGGAGGGGTTGTTTCTCTTTTGTAATTAAGAATTGTAAAATAACCAGGGTGGTCCCTGTGTACACCAGTGTAAATATCTTTGGTAACTGAAATGTACTTTAAGAGAACAAAATCTGTAAATAAACTGATTTATAAATTAATCTTGTTTTCTGGTGCTTTATAAAATGGACCTCTATAATTACCCAAATGGTTGCTAATTCTGAAGGTGTCCTGGAGATTTGTCCCTTGTACGTTCCCCTTTCTGTCTGATGCTGTAGTTGGGATGCCAATCACAGTCCACAAAATCCCATTAGAGTTGCCTTAATTATAACCATAACATTATTAGAATTTCCTTATTGTTAAAGCTGAGTGTTGATAAAAGCAAAAATAGCATTGCGTAATCATTGCAGGAGTGCACTGCAGGATCTGCGGGACAGAAATTACTCCTTGCATATGTTTATTTAAAATAAGTTTAAAAAACTCATGGTTTAAAACATTGCCAGGGCAGAAGAGGGGGGAGGGAGGGGGGGGGAGAAGCTATTTTTAATGCTAAATAGGGATCCAAAACAAGGCTTGAAGCTCTGAAGAATTTAATTAGATTCCTAAATTGTTCCAGCTGCTGTTATCGGCACTGTAACTTCTTCACTGAGGGCGCACACCTTGTTCCCTACAAGCTTTATGTATTGGTGAAAACTCTCTTAAATCTTTGATGTTTCCTTTCCAGAGAAAAAAAAAGGCGCAACAACCCAGCAACTCTGCTTTCACATGTGAGAGGTCCTGGAGCTCTGTAAGCGAAGGGCTGATCGGGGGCAGTGCCAAACCACAGGCGCGAGGGCACGTGGCGAGCGAGCGGCAGCGGGGAATGCGTAAGAGCAAGCAAGTTTATCGAGCCTCCTTCGGTGCCTGCAGCTGCTCCTGCACCTCTGCTCTGCCTCGGTGCTGTTTATTACTGTACAGCCCAGCAGAAAAGGCTTTGCTTTCCGTTTGGCATAAATATCTACAAAACCCGTTGTTGGTCTTTCCAGCTTGGGGGATGCTGGGTGGCAGCCTATGCCTCGCCACTCTTTTCACAGAATCACAGGATCTTCTAGGTTGGAAGGGACCTTAAAGATCATCTTGTCCAACCGTCAACCTAACTGACAAAAATAGACACCCACACAACAAACAAGGAGCATCATCACTAAACCATACCTCCCAGCACTACATCAACCCGTCTTTTGAACACCTCCAGGGATGGTGCCTCAACCACCTCCCTGGGCAGCCCATTCCAATGGCTGAGAACCCTTTCAGTGAAAAAATTTTTCCTAATATCCAGCCTGAACCTCCCCTGGCGCAACTTGAGGCCATTTCCTCTTGTCCTGTCGCCTGTGACTTGAGAAAAGAGACCGACCCCCATCTCTCTACACCCTCCTTTCAGGTAGTTGTGAGAGCAATAAGGTCTCCCCTCAGCCTCCTCTTCTCCAGGCTGAATAACCCCAGTTCCCTCAGCCTCTCCTCATAAGACTTACTCTCCAGATCCCTCACCATCTTTGTCGCCCTTCTCTGGACCCGCTCCAGCACCTCAATGTCTTTTTTATATGCACCAAACCCTGGGGTGGGGGGGACCTGTGTGAACAGAAGAGTTGCCAAGGGTTTTGCACTGTGCTGGGCAGTTGTTGGCTCTTTTGTTCTTCTTTAGCAGATGTACCTCATCCTGGAGGAAGACTTGCTTCACTCAGGCCGTCACGACGGAAGCAGCTTTGCTGCAGTCCCGCCAGCAGTGCCAGCGTGTGGTAGGAGTGGTCCTCAGCAGAACCTGTTGGAAACCACTCATACGGAGAGAGAAGCACGTCGCAGCCCTCCGAGCTGGGGCGGTCAAACCAGCCAAAGCACAGTGGTAGGTCATTTGATGTCCAAATGGCTGAGACAAAGTGGTGCTGCAGCCTCTGTGCTCTCATTACCGAGCAGCAGGAGAGCATCCCTGTCGCTGCTTTCCCCACGCTCCCTGCAGTGATTTTTTTTTTTTTTTTTTTTTTTC